AAAATATACATATTTTAATTTTTTTATTTAAAACATGAGGTCTACCCGACCTAGAAGCCACATTTTCAAAAGTTAAACGTTCATATATAGAACATGTAGACTCTAAATATGATATCACGTTGACTATATTTTTGTAGATCAATATTATTTCTCCTCGCATCTAGTCAATTACAAGGTGTTTAACCACAGTACATATTTCAATTTTTACATGTTACAATTATAAACATATTTCAAAGTTCTTAACATCATTTATCTAATAGTGTTTATTGAAGCATGCTCTCTTAACTTACTAAGGAATGGTCGTACATATTCAAATATGTGAGCTCTTGAGTTATTGATGGTCGAGAGACTTCGCTCATACCTGGAAACATATAACTTATGTTTTTGCGTTTAGCTAGCTATACGTTATAAGTATAAGAAAATATATAGAAGATTGACGTTTTTCCAAAAATATATTATTACATAGAAATGAATATTTCTTCGATCAATTATCATGTTCTTTTTACCAAGGATGATTTTTTTCTCCAATACTTTGTTTATAATTTAGAGAGATGGGGAAAGGGAACTAGAGTTTGTTCATTATGCAACGGTGGATGTAGGGATGGCCTAGGTCATTATAGATCGCTCAGATGTCATTTTTTCAGGGGTGAACGCCGTCCCCTATCCAATGATTTTAAATCAACCCTTCCACCTCTCTCCTGTATGGAATGAATGGTCAACGTTGCCGGAGAAATAAAACTACATTGGCTGCTTGGTAATGATGTGTTTTTGAATTATGGCCCTGTCTAAGTCTATGTCAATTATCTGCAAAAGGCTAATTTATTAAAGTAGATATATAGTTTAACAGTAATAGAATTTGAATAGAATATAAATTAAATTTAAAACATTAACATTTAAAAATAGGTCTATGGTTTACAACTCATTTAGAATTGTAAGGAAACTTCCTGGTTGGCCCATGTTCCCCCCTATAGGAGTTCCCTTTATGTTGAAATACCCTGGAGCGACTGTCAGGCTACCGCGTTGACATCGCCCCTCTTTACCAGTAGTGCAGGCTTGTTGCTGTGCACGGGGACCATTTACATTAAGACACGGACGTGTAATAATGAGTTAGTAAAAAAAGAAAAACTCTACGCTCCTTCGGTGACTCCAACTGTAGGTCTTGAAGAGCTTTGGTGACGCAGCCTGGTTCCCTTGAGTGACATTTGGTTACAAATATAGCTGCTCTTCTCTGTACCTTTTCCAACATATCAATGTTTTTTTGTCCGTAAAGATCCCATGCCGAACTGGCATGCTCTAAATTAGGCCAGACTAGTGACTTATAGGCCAGGGCCTTCACGTTTTCAGGGCATTGATGAAGGTTGCGCCTGAGGAATCCAAGCACTTATTGGCTTTTGATACAATAGTTTGAATATTTGTAGTCCATGTAGGTATAGGACGTTTGTTCCCGTCTTAATGTTTTCCCCTAGCATGGTCTTATTGTGGATGATAGGGGATTTACCTTTGTGAATATTCAGCACATGGCATTTTGATGGATGGAATTTCATTTGCCATGTTGATGCCCAGGAGACCAGTATATTAAGATTATCCTGTAGTGTTAATGCATCTTGTTCGCTTTCGACTGTCATGCTGTCGTCAGCAAATAGTTTAAGACTAGCTGAGGATGATAGGTTATTGCCCATATCACTGGCGGATCTGGGGAGGGGGCAGTGGCCCGCCCCCCACCCCTTGTATGGGCCAAGAAAAAAAATCGGACCCAATAAAGGTTTTGGGCCAAAAAAGGCCTTAATGCCCCAAAAGTAGGCCTTTTTGGTCGTAAATTGGCCTTCTAAGACCTTATTTTTTAATTCTAAGCCAAAATTTGAAGAAAATGGGCCTCAAAATTTTAAAAACATTTCACGGCAAGTGCGAAAGTTTTTTTCTCAGACCAGAAGTTTGCTTCCCCTTGTTGGTTCTCAGATCCCCCCCTGCATATCATTATTGCAAATTCCTTAGTAGTCGAGTTTTTAGCAAGAGGTGGTCGTTGGCCACCGTGTCAAACGCTTTAGAAATGTCTAATACTAACATGTCTGTTTGTTTATTGTTATCGAGGGCCCGAGCTGTATTTTCTATTGTATTGACAAGATGGGTTTCACATATGGGTGCTTTGACCTGAATCCATGTTGGAAGTTTACTAGAATTTCATAAAGGTCAAAGTGGGCCATGACATGATGGAAGATAATATGTTCCAAAATATTTTTAGTTAAAGTATATATTAAATTGAAATGTTTACCCTCTGGGCATAAATACAGTGTTTTTATTAAAACAACATGAAGTGAAGTGATGGTAAAATATCAATCAAACAATTCGAAAAATTATGGATAGGGACCCTATGTCAACAATTTTTTAAAATGTTGGACCTATTTACTTGAAAGAGGATCTTCTTTTCTGATTTTTATTGCAGTAAAAGATTATTTAACAAGGGGTCTAAATCTTCTTCAAAAGTAGAATGGTATTGAAAGTCTAGTTTTTAAGATTTTTGAAAATTTTCGATAACCAAAATTATGCTGAAAACAATTCACCATAAGTTTTACCTATGGGAAAATAATATGGTGTATGTGGTTTTTAATGTACTCCATTCCCTTTTCAGAAGTTGTTAATATATAGTGTAGAAGAAACTTTTGAATTGAGAAAACAAAGATCCTCATTTTAGAAAATAAGTCTGACATTTTTAAAAAAGTGACAAGGTGGGGTCCCTATCCATAATTTTTCAGAGAGTTGGGTTGATGTTAACTTCACTTGAAAGAAAACATATTGTTTTAATAACAACCACAGTATTTATGCCCAAAAGGTTATAATAATCATGGTGAAAGATATTATTATTATTATGAGCTTTATTATACTTGTATCCCACATTTGGGCAAAGTGTACAGCTTAAACAGAAAAAAATGAAAAAGCTTAACTAATTATCTATATACAGGGTGTCAAATGGCGTTGTGCCCCCCTTCCACAGCACAAACTAGGAGAAGTACACATACATTATATATATCATTAGAAAGAGCATTCAATTCTGGATAAAATGAACCCTATATGACCAGGGTCGGATATTGCTACAAAGTTTCATAAGCATTTGAAATGCACCAGTATAGTGCTATTTTTATTGATTTTTAAAAATTCCTGCATAGACCTTTTTGGTATTGTTGAATACCCGAGCAACAACTCTGACTTAAATGCTTCAGTTCAAATTGAGCCCATATTAATGGATAAAACAGAGCTACTTATGGAAGTTGAAGCTGTAGAACCTCAAAAAGTATTGAGATCTCTGCTCAAGACACTGCTCTTTTCGGTGCCCTTTTAACTTGATATCCAGCCTGACTGGCAGCCGTTTTAAGCTGCCTGGGATGGTCAAACTCTCTTTTAAAAGTTGGTTCAAATTATGTATTATTTTCTATCATCCATCTTCATCTTTTCACACTCTAAGAACAATTAAATGCATTTTCCAATGGTATATAGTATGTATAACTCTTTTAGTTTATGCTGGGGATAGGGGGCACAACACCATTTGACACCCTGTAGTATATTAACTAATCAAAGGGTGCTTGATCATTGCAAGATTTTATTGGATGCATTTCGTGTTTTTTTCTCTCTCGATAAAAATATTAGATATATATTTTGCTAGTATATTTAATATTATTCCCTCTGAATTAAATAGAAACATTAATTTATGTTCCACGTTATTCATGTTTTTTAAATTTTGACAGTGTTTTTTTTATTTTATCCATGTAACTTGACCGAACATCTTTTAACTTATTGCATTCTAATAGGAAATGGCATTCTGAACCGGTTTTCTTGTTACACATTAAACATTTTAGATATGACCGTATAAAATCATTTGCCATACTGCACATGGATATTTACCTAGTTTGTAATTTTCCGTACTATTGTAAACAAGAAACAAAACAAAGATTCGAATATACACAGGGGTGTCGACTTTTGGCTTGCAACCGAAGATACATCAAGAAAAGCCGGATATTACCGAAGATTTTCTTTGCAAACGAAGTTGGCAGAGGGCACAACGAATGTGAAGAGGACGTCTTTAATTGGACAAAAAGAGAGGCTCGGCATTCTCCGTCAGATTGAATCGGCAAAATTCGGTTGTATGGCTTACCTTCGGCTGCATGGCCCAACCTCGATTGAATGGAAAAGATGCTGTCCAATACACACAGACCTTTGCATGCTATAAAATGAAGACTTCCTGATGCCGAACTTATGAAGGGGAGTTTATAATTCATAGTGAATTAATATTCTAATATCGGCGGGAAGTGAGAACGTTTTCACAGTGCTTGATCAGCCCAACGCTTTACAAGGTGCTCCAGGTCCACTCGTCTCAAACTATTTTTTGAATTTACCGTTCATGATAATTGTTGATCAGACAATTACTCGCCGTTTATTGATAACATGACGAATATTTGATGCAGGAGATTTAACTTATTGTCAACATTATATTTCAGTCCACTATCCTTGTTAACAGACTTAGCAACAATATAAACGAATAAAACACTAACAATTACAACACCACTGACGACAACAGTAATTGCAACTTACAAGAAGCATTTAGAATGTAAACGTTAAACTTGCAAATAAGGTTTAATGCATATAAACAAAGAGTAACAAATAAAACATAAACAACATTCAACGAATACAAATGTTCAATTTACAACTACATTTGTTTACCCATAAATATCCAAAAGTACGAATAATGAAGCAGAAAACAATCCATATCTTAAAACTTATGTCGTTTCTGTTAACTACCCAAGACCCAATACACGGTCATATAATAGCTAAATAGGTTATAAGGCCGATCTCAAAAGTATATAAAAAATAAAAGGTTTCCAATTGCAATGATATTGAGAGTTGTGTGAAAATAACATATTTCGGCAACTGCAATCTTGAAAATATCGAGTCTATATTTATACTTTAAGTTTTATTGACCCTCGGTTTTTAAGATAAGGCATACTTCCATTGATCATTGGTTCACTACTTGGTCGAGAGGCGTTAAGGATGTTGTTGCGAATAATAGCTGCTCTCTGCTGTTGCAGTTTAGCGTTGTCCCAGATTGCAGATTGGGGAGTAAGTTCCTTTTTGGATTCAGTTTGTTTAATACTCTCTGTGTAAGTAACCCCGGGGCACTTTATACACTTGGCTAAGTATATGTACTGAACGAAACTAATCGCTTATCATTTGTGTGTTGAAAGAAGGTGGGTAATATGTTCTTCCCCTTTGTTCTGTAGTCCTAATACTTACTGAAATACTTACATTGCAAATATAACATAATGTACCATTTCTGCCCCCTGCCATTGAGTTAACATTTCATAAAATGTCCTTTCCTGCTAGTGCTATTAGATATTATATATATAGCTGTAATTCGTATCCTAAATAACCCCCTAAAATATTTTTCTGATTCACTGATATGAATATTTTTATTTTCGAAGTCAATAGATATGGATATAAATTTTATTTTCTGGAGAAATATTTCACATACATGTAGAAGGGGGATTAATAACCTTTTAAAATTTAAAAAGGTGTAAACAGTTTTTCAATTTTGAAGCTTTGGAATTTTCAGAAAATAATGTTATGATGCTTGCTTATGTTTGTTTCTTTTCTAGTGGGAAGACACGACACCACTTGATGAATACGTAGCTCGTCCCGAACCCGTCTACTCCTATCGCTTATTGAGCACTGTTCGCTATGACGCCATAAACGAAGGCGTTGAAGACTGCACGGTCCATATTCTGAACATGACGTCTCAAACCTGGCAAAACAGTAAATGTTCAAATATTTATATAAATAATTTATGGGTCAATAGTTACTTTGATTAAAATGAAAAAGTTGTACTCCTCCATCCCCAATTGAGAAGCGTGTCATCAGCTCTTCTTATCAATTTGTTTCTCAGTTACCAGGGGTCGGAATTTTGAGAATTAATCATAATCCAAAGAGAACATTTTTTGACACGTGATCAAAAAGTGAACTTCCGGTTGCCACTTCAGGGTGTATAATCCGTATTACCCTGAATATTCCAGGCGAGGTTACATCAGTCAGTGTCTGGTCTCATCACCTAGCTATAGTCATACCTGACAGTGTCCGAATGTGGGATACATCATTCATGTTTATATAATATCCTGAATATTCCAGGCGAGGTTACATCAGTCAGTGTCTGGTCTCATCACCTAGCTATAGTTATACCTGACAGTGTCCGAATCTGGGATGCATCATTCATGTTTATATAATATCCTGCATATTCCAGGCGAGGTTACATCAGTCAGTGTCTGGTCTCATCACCTAGCTATAGTTATACCTGACAGTGTCCGAATCTGGGATGCATCATTCATGTTTATATAATATCCTGCATATTCCAGGCGAGGTTACATCAGTCAGTGTCTGGTCTCATCACCTAGCTATAGTCATACCTGACAGTGTCCGAATGTGGGATACATCATTCATGTTTATATAATATCCTGAATATTCCAGGCGAGGTTACATCAGTCAGTGTCTGGTCTCATCACCTAGCTATAGTTATACCTGACAGTGTCCGAATGTGGGATGCATCATTCATGTTTATATAATATCCTGCATATTCCAGGCGAGGTTACATCAGTCAGTGTCTGGTCTCATCACCTTGCTATAGTTGTACCTGACAGTGTCCGAATGTGGGATACATCATTCATGTTTATATAATATTCTGCATATTCCAGGCGAGGTTACATCAGTCAGTGTCTGGACTCATCACCTAGCTATAGTCATACCTGACAGTGTCCGAATCTGGGATGCATCATTCATGTTTATATAATATCCTGCATATTCCAGGCGAGGTTACATCAGTCAGTGTCTGGTCTCATCACCTAGCTATAGTCATACCTGACAGTGTCCGAATGTGGGATACATCATTCATGTTTATATAATATCCTGAATATTCCAGGCGAGGTTACATCAGTCAGTGTCTGGTCTCATCACCTAGCTATAGTTATACCTGACAGTGTCCGAATGTGGGATGCATCATTCATGTTTATATAATATCCTGCATATTCCAGGCGAGGTTACATCAGTCAGTGTCTGGTCTCATCACCTAGCTATAGTTGTACCTGACAGTGTCCGAATCTGGGATGCATCATTCATGTTTATATAATATCCTGCATATTCCAGGCGAGGTTACATCAGTCAGTGTCTGGTCTCATCACCTAGCTATAGTCATACCTGACAGTGTCCGAATGTGGGATACATCATTCATGTTTATATAATATCCTGCATATTCCAGGCGAGGTTACATCAGTCAGTGTCTGGTCTCATCACCTAGCTATAGTTATACCTGACAGTGTCCGAATCTGGGATGCATCATTCATGTTTATATAATATCCTGCATATTCCAGGCGAGGTTACATCAGTCAGTGTCTGGTCTCATCACCTAGCTATAGTTATACCTGACAGTGTCCGAATCTGGGATGCATCATTCATGTTTATATAATATCCTGCATATTCCAGGCGAGGTTACATCAGTCAGTGTCTGGTCTCATCACCTAGCTATAGTTATACCTGACAGTGTCCGAATCTGGGATACATCATTCATGTTTATATAATATCCTGCATATTCCAGGCGAGGTTACATCAGTCAGTGTCTGGTCTCATCACCTAGCTATAGTTATACCTGACAGTGTCCGAATGTGGGATACATCATTCATGTTTATATAATATCCTGCATATTCCAGGCGAGGTTACATCAGTCAGTGTCTGGTATCATCACCTAGCTATAGTTATACCTGACAGTGTCCGAATCTGGGATGCATCATTCATGTTTATATAATACCCTGCATATTCCAGGCGAGGTTACATCAGTCAGTGTCTGGTCTCATCACCTAGCTATAGTTATACCTGACAGTGTCCGAATCTGGGATGCATCATTCATGTTTATATAATATCCTGCATATTCCAGGCGAGGTTACATCAGTCAGTGTCTGGTCTCATCACCTAGCTATAGTCATACCTGACAGTGTCCGAATGTGGGATACATCATTCATGTTTATATAATATCCTGCATATTCCAGGCGAGGTTACATCAGTCAGTGTCTGGTCTCATCACCTAGCTATAGTTATACCTGACAGTGTCCGAATCTGGGATGCATCATTCATGTTTATATAATATCCTGCATATTCCAGGCGAGGTTACATCAGTCAGTGTCTGGTCTCATCACCTAGCTATAGTTATACCTGCAGTGTCCGAATCTGGGATACTTCATTCATGTTTATATAATATCCTGCATATTACAGGCGAGGTTACATCAGTCAGTGTCTGGTCTCATCACCTAGCTATAGTTATACCTGACAGTGTCCGAATGTGGGATTCATCATTCATGTTTATATAATATCCTGCATATTCCAGGGGAGGTTACATCAGTCAGTGTCTGGTCTCATCACCTAGCTATAGTCATACCTGACAGTGTCCGAATGTGGGATACATCATTCATGTTTATATAATATCCTGCATATTCCAGGCGAGGTTACATCAGTCAGTGTCTGGTCTCATCACCTAGCTATAGTTATACCTGACAGTGTCCGAATCTGGGATGCATCATTCATGTTTATATAATATCCTGCATATTCCAGGCGAGGTTACATCAGTCAGTGTCTGGTCTCATCACCTAGCTATAGTTATACCTGACAGTGTCCGAATCTGGGATGCATCATTCATGTTTATATAATATCCTGCATATTCCAGGCGAGGTTACATCAGTCAGTGTCTGGTCTCATCACCTAGCTATAGTCATACCTGACAGTGTCCGAATGTGGGATACATCATTCATGTTTATATAATATCCTGCATATTCCAGGCGAGGTTACATCAGTCAGTGTCTGGTCTCATCACCTAGCTATAGTTATACCTGACAGTGTCCGAATCTGGGATGCATCATTCATGTTTATATAATATCCTGCATATTCCAGGCGAGGTTACATCAGTCACTGTCTGGTCTCATCACCTAGCTATAGTCATACCTGACAGTGTCCGAATGTGGGATACATCATTCATGTTTATATAATATCCTGCATATTCCAGGCGAGGTTACATCAGTCAGTGTCTGGTCTCATCACCTAGCTATAGTCATACCTGACAGTGTCCGAATGTGGGATACATCATTCATGTTTATATAATATCCTGCATATTCCAGGCGAGGTTACATCAGTCAGTGTCTGGTCTCATCACCTAGCTATAGTCATACCTGACAGTGTCCGAATGTGGGATGCATCATTCATGTTTATATAATATCCTGCATATTCCAGGCGAGGTTACATCAGTCAGTGTCTGGTATCATCACCTAGCTATAGTTATACCTGACAGTGTCCGAATCTGGGATGCATCATTCATGTTTATATAATACCCTGCATATTCCAGGCGAGGTTACATCAGTCAGTGTCTGGTCTCATCACCTAGCTATAGTTATACCTGACAGTGTCCGAATCTGGGATGCATCATTCATGTTTATATAATATCCTGCATATTCCAGGCGAGGTTACATCAGTCAGTGTCTGGTCTCATCACCTAGCTATAGTCATACCTGACAGTGTCCGAATGTGGGATACATCATTCATGTTTATATAATACCCTGCATATTCCAGGCGAGGTTACATCAGTCAGTGTCTGGTCTCATCACCTAGCTATAGTCATACCTGACAGTGTCCGAATCTGGGATGCATCATTCATGTTTATATAATATCCTGCATATTCCAGGCGAGGTTACATCAGTCAGTGTCTGGTCTCATCACCTAGCTATAGTCATACCTGACAGTGTCCGAATGTGGGATACATCATTCATGTTTATATAATATCCTGCATATTCCAGGCGAGGTTACATCAGTCAGTGTCTGATCTCATCACCTAGCTATAGTCATACCTGACAGTGTCCGAATCTGGGATGCATCATTCATGTTTATATAATATCCTGCATATTCCAGGCGAGGTTACATCAGTCAGTGTCTGGTCTCATCACCTAGCTATAGTCATACCTGACAGTGTCCGAATGTGGGATACATCATTCATGTTTATATAATATCCTGCATATTCCAGGCGAGGTTACATCAGTCAGTGTCTGGTCTCATCACCTAGCTATAGTTATACCTGACAGTGTCCGAATGTGGGATACATCATTCATGTTTATATAATATCCTGCATATTCCAGGCGAGGTTACATCAGTCAGTGTCTGGTCTCATCACCTAGCTATAGTCATACCTGACAGTGTCCGAATGTGGGATACATCATTCATGTTTATATAATATCCTGCATATTCCAGGCGAGGTTACATCAGTCAGTGTCTGGTCTCATCACCTAGCTATAGTTATACCTGACAGTGTCCGAATGTGGGATACATCATTCATGTTTTTATAATATCCTGCATATTCCAGGCGAGGTTACATCAGTCAGTGTCTGGTCTCATCACCTAGCTATAGTTATACCTGACAGTGTCCGAATCTGGGATGCATCATTCATGTTTATATAATATCCTGAATATTCCAGGCGAGGTTACATCAGTCAGTGTCTGGTCTCATCACCTAGCTATAGTTATACCTGACAGTGTCCGAATCTGGGATGCATCATTCATGTTTATATAATATCCTGCATATTCCAGGCGAGGTTACATCAGTCAGTGTCTGGTCTCATCACCTAGCTACAGTTATACCTGACAGTGTCCGAATCTGGGATGCATCATTCATGTTTATATAATATCCTGCATGTTCCAGGCGAGGTTACATCAGTCAGTGTCTGGTCTCATCACCTAGCTATAGTTATACCTGACAGTGTCCGAATGTGGGATACATCATTCATGTTTATATAATATCCTGCATATTCCAGGCGAGGCTACATCAGTCAGTGTCTGGTCTCATCACCTAGCTACAGTTATACCTGACAGTGTCCGAATCTGGGATGCATCATTCATGTTTATATAATATCCTGCATGTTCCAGGCGAGGTTACATCAGTCAGTGTCTGGTCTCATCACCTAGCTATAGTTATACCTGACAGTGTCCGAATCTGGGATACATCATTCATGTTTATATAATATCCTGCATATTCCAGGCGAGGTTACATCAGTCAGTGTCTGGTCTCATCACCTAGCTATAGTCATACCTGATAGTGTCCGAATGTGGGATACATCATTAATGTTTATATAATATCCTGCATATTCCAGGCGAGGTTACATCAGTCAGTGTCTGGTCTCATCACCTAGCTATAGTTATACCTGACAGTGTCCGAATGTGGGATACATCATTCAAGTTTATATAATATCCTGCATATTCCAGGCGAGGTTACATCAGTCAGTGTCTGGTCTCATCACCTAGCTATAGTTATACCTGACAGTGTCCGAATCTGGGATACTTCATTCATGTTTATATAATATCCTGCATATTCCAGGCGAGGTTACATCAGTCAGTGTCTGGTCTCATCATCTAGCTAGCTATAGTTATACCTGACAGTGTCCGAATCTGGGATGCATCATTCATGTTTATATAATACCCTGCATATTCCAGGCGAGGTTACATCAGTCAGTGTCTGGTCTCATCACCTAGCTATAGTTATACCTGACAGTGTCCGAATCTGGGATGCATCATTCATGTTTATATAATATCCTGCATATTCCAGGCGAGGTTACATCAGTCAGTGTCTGGTCTCATCACCTAGCTATAGTTATACCTGACAGTGTCCGAATCTGGGATGCATCATTCATGTTTATATAATATCCTGCATATTCCAGGCGAGGTTACATCAGTCAGTGTCTGGTCTCATCACCTAGCTATAGTCATACCTGACAGTGTCCGAATGTGGGATACATCATTCATGTTTATATAATATCCTGCATATTCCAGGCGAGGTTACATCAGTCAGTGCCTGGTCTCATCACCTAGCTATAGTTATACCTGACAGTGTCCGAATCTGGGATGCATCATATATGTTTATATAATATCCTGCATATTCCAGGCGAGGTTACATCAGTCAGTGTCTGGTCTCATCACCTTGCTATAGTTATACCTGACAGTGTCCGAATCTGGGATGCATCATTCATGTTTATATAATATCCTGCATGTTCCAGGCGAGGTTACATCAGTCAGTGTCTGGTCTCATCACCTAGCTATAGTTATACCTGACAGTGTCCGAATGTGGGATACATCATTCATGTTTATATAATATCCTGCATATTCCAGGCGAGGTTACATCAGTCAGTGTCTGGTCTCATCACCTAGCTATAGTTATACCTGACAGTGTCCGAATCTGGGATGCATCATTCATGTTTATATAATATCCTGCATATTCCAGGCGAGGTTACATCAGTCAGTGTCTGGTCTCATCACCTAGCTATAGTCATACCTGACAGTGTCCGAATGTGGGATACATCATTCATGTTTATATAATATCCTGCATATTCCAGGCGAGGTTACATCAGTCAGTGTCTGGTCTCATCACCTAGCTATAGTTATACCTGACAGTGTCCGAATGTGGGATACATCATCTATGTTTATATAATATCCTGCATATTCCAGGCGAGGTTACATCAGTCAGTGTCTGGTCTCATCACCTAGCTATAGTTATACCTGACAGTGTCCGAATGTGGGATACATCATTCATGTTTATATAATATCCTGCATATTCCAGGCGAGGTTACATCAGTCAGTGTCTGGTCTCATCACCTAGCTATAGTCATACCTGACAGTGTCCGAATGTGGGATACATCATTCATGTTTATATAATATCCTGCATATTCCAGGCGAGGTTACATCAGTCAGTGTCTGGTCTCATCACCTAGCTATAGTCATACCTGACAGTGTCCGAATGTGGGATACATCATTCATGTTTATATAATATCCTGCATATTCCAGGCGAGGTTACATCAGTCAGTGTCTGGTCTCATCACCTAGCTATAGTTATACCTGACAGTGTCCGAATGTGGGATACATCATTCATGTTTATATAATATCCTGAATATTCCAGGCGAGGTTACATCAGTCAGTGTCTGGTCTCATCACCTAGCTATAGTTATACCTGACAGTGTCCGAATCTGGGATGCATCATTCATGTTTATATAATATCCTGCATATTCCAGGCGAGGTTACATCAGTCAGTGTCTGGTCTCATCACCTAGCTATAGTCATACCTGACAGTGTCCGAATGTGGGATACATCATTCATGTTTATATAATATCCTGCATATTCCAGGCGAGGTTACATCAGTCAGTGTCTGGTCTCATCACCTAGCTATAGTTATACCTGACAGTGTCCGAATCTGGGATGCATCATTCATGTTTATATAATATCCTGCATATTCCAGGCGAGGTTACATCAGTCAGTGTCTGGTCTCATCACCTAGCTATAGTTATACCTGACAGTGTCCGAATCTGGGATGCATCATTCATGTTTATATAATATCCTGCATATTCCAGGCGAGGTTACATCAGTCAGTGTCTGGTCTCATCACCTAGCTATAGTCATACCTGACAGTGTCCGAATGTGGGATACATCATTCATGTTTATATAATATTCTGCATATTCCAGGCGAGGTTACATCAGTCAGTGTCTGGTCTCATCACCTAGCTATAGTCATACCTGACAGTGTCCGAATCTGGGATGCATCATTCATGTTTGTATAATACCCTGCATATTCCAGGCGAGGTTACATCAGTCAGTGTCTGGTCTCATCACCTAGCTATAGTTATACCTGACAGTGTCCGAATCTGGGATGCATCATTCATGTTTATATAATATCCTGCATATTCCAGGCGAGGTTACATCAGTCAGTGTCTGGTCTCATCACCTAGCTATAGTTATACCTGACAGTGTCCGAATCTGGGATGCATCATTCATGTTTATATAATATCCTGCATATTCCAGGCGAGGTTACATCAGTCAGTGTCTGGTCTCATCACCTAGCTATAGTTATACCTGACAGTGTCCGAATCTGGGATGCATCATTCATGTTTATATAATATCCTGCATATTCCAGGCGAGGTTACATCAGTCAGTGTCTGGTCGCATCACCTAGCTATAGTTGTACCTGACAGTGTCCGAATGTGGGATACATCATTCATGTTTATATAATATCCTGCATATTCCAGGCGAGGTTACATCAGTCAGTGTCTGGTCTCATCACCTAGCTATAGTCATACCTGACAGTGTCCGAATGTGGGATACATCATTCATGTTTATATAATATCCTGCATATTCCAGGCGAGGTTACATCAGTCATTGTCTGGTCTCATCACCTAGCTATAGTTATACCTGACAGTGTCCGAATCTGGGATGCATCATTCATGTTTATATAATATCCTGCATGTTCCAGGCGAGGTTACATCAGTCAGTGTCTGGTCTCATCACCTAGCTATAGTTATACCTGACAGTGTCCGAATGTGGGATACATCATTCATGTTTATATAATATCCTGCATATTCCAGGCGAGGTTACATCAGTCAGTGTCTGGTCTCATCACCTAGCTATAGTTATACCTGACAGTGTCCGAATCTGGGATGCATCATTCATGTTTATATAATATCCTGCATATTCCAGGCGAGGTTACATCAGTCAGTGTCTGGTCTCATCACCTAGCTATAGTCATACCTGACAGTGTCCGAATGTGGGATACATCATTCATGTTTATATAATATCCTGCATATTCCAGGCGAGGTTACATCAGTCAGTGTCTGGTCTCATCACCTAGCTATAGTTATACCTGACAGTGTCCGAATCTGGGATGCATCATTCATGTTTATATAATATCCTGCATATTCCAGGCGAGGTTACATCAGTCAGTGTCTGGTCTCATCACCTAGCTATAGTCATACCTGACAGTGTCCGAATGTGGGATACATCATTCATGTTTATATAATATCCTGCATATTCCAGGCGAGGTTACATCAGTCAGTGCCTGGTCTCATCACCTAGCTATAGTTATACCTGACAGTGTCCGAATCTGGGATGCATCATATATGTTTATATAATATCCTGCATATTCCAGGCGAGGTTACATCAGTCAGTGTCTGGTCTCATCACCTTGCTATAGTTATACCTGACAGTGTCCGAATCTGGGATGCATCATTCATGTTTATATAATATCCTGCATGTTCCAGGCGAGGTTACATCAGTCAGTGTCTGGTCTCATCACCTAGCTATAGTTATACCTGACAGTGTCCGAATGTGGGATACATCATTCATGTTTATATAATATCCTGCATATTCCAGGCGAGGTTACATCAGTCAGTGTCTGGTCTCATCACCTAGCTATAGTTATACCTGACAGTGTCCGAATCTGGGATGCATCATTCATGTTTATATAATATCCTGCATATTCCAGGCGAGGTTACATCAGTCAGTGTCTGGTCTCATCACCTAGCTATAGTCATACCTGACAGTGTCCGAATGTGGGATACATCATTCATGTTTATATAATATCCTGCATATTCCAGGCGAGGTTACATCAGTCAGTGTCTGGTCTCATCACCTAGCTATAGTTATACCTGACAGTGTCCGAATGTGGGATACATCATCTATGTTTATATAATATCCTGCATATTCCAGGCGAGGTTACATCAGTCAGTGTCTGGTCTCATCACCTAGCTATAGTTATACCTGACAGTGTCCGAATGTGGGATACATCATTCATGTTTATATAATATCCTGCATATTCCAGGCGAGGTTACATCAGTCAGTGTCTGGTCTCATCACCTAGCTATAGTCATACCTGACAGTGTCCGAATGTGGGATACATCATTCATGTTTATATAATATCCTGCATATTCCAGGCGAGGTTACATCAGTCAGTGTCTGGTCTCATCACCTAGCTATAGTCATACCTGACAGTGTCCGAATGTGGGATACATCATTCATGTTTATATAATATCCTGCATATTCCAGGCGAGGTTACATCAGTCAGTGTCTGGTCTCATCACCTAGCTATAGTTATACCTGACAGTGTCCGAATGTGGGATACATCATTCATGTTTATATAATATCCTGAATATTCCAGGCGAGGTTACATCAGTCAGTGTCTGGTCTCATCACCTAGCTATAGTTATACCTGACAGTGTCCGAATCTGGGATGCATCATTCATGTTTATATAATATCCTGCATATTCCAGGCGAGGTTACATCAGTCAGTGTCTGGTCTCATCACCTAGCTATAGTCATACCTGACAGTGTCCGAATGTGGGATACATCATTCATGTTTATATAATATCCTGCATATTCCAGGCGAGGTTACATCAGTCAGTGTCTGGTCTCATCACCTAGCTATAGTTATACCTGACAGTGTCCGAATCTGGGATGCATCATTCATGTTTATATAATATCCTGCATATTCCAGGCGAGGTTACATCAGTCAGTGTCTGGTCTCATCACCTAGCTATAGTTATACCTGACAGTGTCCGAATCTGGGATGCATCATTCATGTTTATATAATATCCTGCATATTCCAGGCGAGGTTACATCAGTCAGTGTCTGGTCTCATCACCTAGCTATAGTCATACCTGACAGTGTCCGAATGTGGGAAACATCATTCATGTTTATATAATATTCTGCATATTCCAGGCGAGGTTACATCAGTCAGTGTCTGGTCTCATCACCTAGCTATAGTCATACCTGACAGTGTCCGAATCTGGGATGCATCATTCATGTTTGTATAATACCCTGCATATTCCAGGCGAGGTTACATCAGTCAGTGTCTGGTCTCATCACCTAGCTATAGTTATACCTGACAGTGTCCGAATCTGGGATGCATCATTCATGTTTATATAATATCCTGCATATTCCAGGCGAGGTTACATCAGTCAGTGTCTGGTCTCATCACCTAGCTATAGTTATACCTGACAGTGTCCGAATCTGGGATGCATCATTCATGTTTATATAATATCCTGCATATTCCAGGCGAGGTTACATCAGTCAGTGTCTGGTCTCATCACCTAGCTATAGTTATACCTGACAGTGTCCGAATCTGGGATGCATCATTCATGTTTATATAATATCCTGCATATTCCAGGCGAGGTTACATCAGTCAGTGTCTGGTCGCATCACCTAGCTATAGTTGTACCTGACAGTGTCCGAATGTGGGATACATCATTCATGTTTATATAATATCCTGCATATTCCAGGCGAGGTTACATCAGTCAGTGTCTGGTCTCATCACCTAGCTATAGTCATACCTGACAGTGTCCGAATGTGGGATACATCATTCATGTTTATATAATATCCTGCATATTCCAGGCGAGGTTACATCAGTCAGTGTCTGGTCGCATCACCTAGCTATAGTTGTACCTGACAGTGTCCGAATGTGGGATACATCATTCATGTTTATATAATATCCTGCATATTCCAGGCGAGGTTACATCAGTCAGTGTCTGGTCTCATCACCTAGCTATAGTTATACCTGACAGTGTCCGAATCTGGGATGCATCATTCATGTTTATCGGCGGTGGGAGGCAAACAGATGCGTAAGTTAAATTGCACAGTAGCTTTTTAAGAAAGCGTCATAGCTCAGGATTGAAAAAAAAGTTTTTGCCCATGGATACATCAAATTCAACAAGTTCATGTTTTGTTGTTTTCTAAAGCCCTCCAGATCCAGAAACTGATGTATTCCTTGACGCAGTGGCAGAAGTCGCAGTCAGAATGGGAAGTGCGGGAGCATACCTTAAACAGATTCCCAACCAACCCATGAACTTGTATCAATCGGTATGTTATCAATACAGATAATATCTAAATATAACAAAACCTGTGTATGTAAGTAAATACCTTACTAAAGATCTTTTGGGAAAAAATAAAGAAATTCGGTTAAGGAACTAGAGCTAGTTTGCCTATTTTCGTACAGTGTAATGCCGTGTGATTTTACAGAATCGTCCCGAGATGAGGCGCACTGAAGATGCGTTGATTGCGTGGACTTGGCGACATTGGATTGAAACTAACCAGTCTGACCCAACAATGGTGCTACAGTTCCCTATGGTCAAGGTAAAACAATATATTGCGAACGGATTTTATATATCTAAAAAACGCCGATAGATCAATCATTCCACTCCTAGAGCTACATGGTTGGAAATATATTTTTGATGTAGCGAGATAAACCTACATTATAATAATTACCCAACAATAATGTTGATAAAGTCAAAAATCTAGACCTTTTATCGTGACTCTAATTAGCCATTTTGTCAAAAATTCCAAACAGCTATCATTTTTGAATACAATATAGGATATTTGAAACACATTCTTGGTAAATGCGATATAGTCTTCTATATGTACATTGACCTTACTCTTCAGTCTGCGAAAATGGCGTTCGATACAATCTTCTCGTATACTAAGAGTGTCAACCCTCAATTCAACATTGATAAATTCATGCCTGCTGGTGGATCAAAACGAGGCTGGATCACGTGGTTGATTGGATGCGTTGACCGTAGAGTTGTTGCCATGAGTCCTATGGTTCTCTCAATTCTAAATATGGTTGAGGTACTGTGAAGCTTAAACAATGATTCCGATTACAAAATAACCTCATTAGGCATTCATACAATATTTTAAGGAAGGAAGGATAACTGTGCATTAATTTTGTAGTAATTTACAGATTTGTTCGTAAATTAAGAATTCCTCAATACAGTGTTCTCCTAGCCTACTATGACGTCATGCAATCCATGATTGATCAAGAATTCTTAACTTTACAGATTTCGAAAATTTCTCAGGTCAAAATTCCCTTTTAACCGTAACGGTATGCAACCGTTTCAGACTCTTGGTCATCATTACCGTGCATATGGAGGATGGTCGTTCGCTTTTATGCCATATTGGAATGAGAATGTTACCCAGCATTTGTATCACCCGAACACACAGACACTTGCTAACCTAATTGATCCATTTAGTAAGTATGGGCTGGTTTGGGAAATAAATATTATGTTCTATTGAAAAGAGACTTTTCAAGAAAAAGCACATGAATCTAGGCTTTTGCTCGTTCGTATTCGGGCAACTCGCGAGACGCCGACTCATAAGGTTAGGTTAACGCAGACGTATGACCATGCCAAAATAGTCCAAGCCACGGCTGATCGATTTTATGCTTTTGTCATCCTTAGGTTATCGCAAACGTATGGCATTGACCATGCCAAAAATTGTAGTCCAAGCCAAGGCTGATCGATTTTATAATTGCTCCATCATAGGGTTATCGCATACGTATCACTTTGCCATAAGTTGTAGTCCAAGCCACAGCTGATCGATTTAATGCTTGTGTCATACTTAGGTTATCGCAGACGTATGACTATGCCAAAAGTTGTAGTTCAAGCCACGGCTGATCGATTTAATGCTTGTTCCATTCTTAGATTATCGCAGACGTATGACCATGCCAAAAGTTGTAGTTCAGGCCACTGCTGATCGATGTAATGCTTGTTCCACCCCTAGGTTATCGCAGACGTATGAGCATGCCAAAAGTTGTAGTTCAAGCCACGGCTGATCGATTTAATGCTTGTTCTATCCCTAGGTTATCGCAGACGTATGACCGTGCCAAAAGTTGTAGTTCAAGCCACGGCTGATTGATTTAATGCTTGTTCCATCCATAGGTTATCGCAGACGTATGACAATGCCAAAGGTTGTAGTTCAAGCCACAGCTGATGAATTCTTCAGACCTGATGAGCCCAACTTCTGGTTCAACCAATTGGTGGGACCAAAGTATCTAAAGTAAGGTCTTGTATTACTGACTTGGAATATTTTATAACGTACTAATGTTACACACCCTCCATTAGTTTAGCGACCGAAAGTCTTCGTTTGATAGCCTAGCTGTTTAAGCCTTGTAATTTTTGAATCAATGGTTTATGACATTTTTAAATCGCCAAACATATACAGGCTTTTACAATGATTCAGAAGGAAATGTAAAGTTGCCTTTATCGAGCAGGTGTAAATCGAAAACTGAAAAATACTGTTTCTATTGAATGTGAATTTGGTAATTGTCCTTGCTCTCTTTCAGATTAATGAGAAATGCCCAACATGCCCTCGTTGGCAGCTATGACAACATAATAGACTCCCTGGTGGCTATGTACAAAGCTATGGATGAGGTAGGTGGAGAGTACCCCTGAATTCATAGAAGACCCATGTAAATGAGCTATGAATTCTAGAATATTTCTTCCGTTTCGATAAGCTTTGCTGCCAAAACATAAATTTTACCTTGTGTCCTAAGAATATACAACAAACTCATGTGATAAGTTTTGATGAATAAGATTGAATTAAGATGAATGTTTATATTACCATGTAATCACGCTGCTTGTCCATGAAATTTAAAGTTAAAAACACGTCATGCACAAGCAGGTCAAAAGGTCATCACCAAACTAAGTTAAACTACTTATTTTCAGAATCAGCCGCTACCAGATTTTAGATGGGAACTCACACAGGTCAGTCGATGGTTTATTATAGCATTGGCTCAAATACTGATTTCATAGAATAAGATTAGGATTGTATAAAGGAAAACTTGACATAATTTAAATTTTTTGAAAAGGTTGCTTCCAATATGTTATACTTTCATCTATCTCTTCTCATTAGTTTATTGTTCGTTCATTTTATGTGTCTATTCAACACCTTCTTGTATTTGTTTAATGCACTTCCGATACACTCCCCTCCATAAGTTTGGCTATCGGAAGGTTTCGTTGGATAGCCCATCAAAGCCTGTAATTGATTGAATCTAACTACGTTCCTTAATTTGAATAGTATCGACATTTATGACGTTGAAAACTCATTAAAGGTAAACAGGCTTAAACTTGTAAGTTATCCAAAGTGTGACATCTGGTTGCCAAATCTATGGAGGGGAGTGTACATTTGATATTTTCATCATTTACTTATAGGGAACTGAGACTGGTCGAACAACCGTGTACACTAACACACAACCACAAGCTGTCCGTGCATGGTACGCTCAATCTGCCGACGGGGAATTGTAAGTTCGTTGTTTTCCACAAATATTATAGCAATCCCCAACATTTTGGTGACCGGAAACCATCTTTGATAGATCTCGCTCTGCTGTCAAATGAAAAGTTCCGACTGCCAAACTTATGAAGAGAAGTGCAGTTAAGTTTTCCTATTTATAAAGGGGGTAGCTAAACTCTCCCATCAAATAACTAGGAACTACATTAAATTGTGTTACATCTAATCTAATCTCATTTTAATTTTATAATATAGTGGAGCCGAGCGAAGAGATTTTCGATGGTTTGTAAGGAGCTCTGAAGACCCGAATGAGGTTGACCTGAATCTAGTCCTTTGGGATGAAAGCACCGATGTCGTAGAGGTTGTGGTACGTAATAATTGTCCTACATGTTCTATATCAAATCATGTAGTGGTACATATACTCCTTTCAATAAGTTTGGCAACATGACGTTTTCATTGGATTACATATCAAAGCATGTCAATATTTGAATCCCAACATTACTCAAAAATGTAAAGTTTATTATTTTTTTCAAAACGGAAACCATTAAGCAGGCTTTGATAACTTATCCAAACTGGGACTTCCTGTTGACAAAACTTATAGAGGGTGTACGCAGTGTGTTCCATTCACTGGTGATATATGGAAATCAAGTACATCGATTGTTCTTGATACTTGCTTCACAGTACAGTTTGCGCATATTCTATTCGAGATGTACTCCATAAACAATTGCAAAACTAAACAGTTAATAAACATAGTGTTATATTAAACCTAATCATGCCGTATAAGTAGGCCTTATCATACTTTATAAGTAAGCCTTATAATACTGTATAAGTAGGCCTTAAAATACTTCATAAGAATGTCCTATCGTACTATACAAGTAAGCCTACCATAATATATAAGTAAGCTTTATCAGAAATGTTTATTTCAATAAATACCTCAGTCATTGTTTCTCATTGATTAATACTGTATTTTTGTATGCCCACGGGGCTAGTGAATTGCGTAATGTTTTAATGAGGTTTCTCCTAGAGGGGAATACTTCTTAATATTATGCAATGCACTACCGCCACAACCAAAATGTTCTACAATATTTTGTAGCCCGGTCAGGAGTATTATGTAGAATTTAATAGACCTGCCACCGGCTGGCTTGGCTTTTTCATAGAGGTATAGTATTTTTTTAGTGATTTTACGCTCCCTCCAAAAAATTGGCAACACCCAGTCCATACTGGTCGGATCACGAGGTTCTAAGTATGTTTGGCAATAATGCCGACACGCAGTTGAATCTTGTAGGGTTTATCAGCCGTGACGGGGATAGGATTAGAAGTTTGGTCATTTAACACCTGGAATCCATTGCTGGGGACTGTGGCTTGCCAAGCTTTTGGAGCGGAGTATAATATTGAACAAATATTTCACTCTATTGAGGTGAATACCTGTACATCTTTCACAAGTGATATTCCACGAAGCCCGAAGGGCAAGTGGAATATCACCTTGTGAAAGTGCTACAGGTATTCACCGAAAATAGAGTGAAATATTTGTTTTATTATATCACTGTCTAGCTAAACATCCCTAATATTATTAAGTCATAGGTTAACATTGATATTTTTACGAATCTACTCGGTTCGTCTGCCATTTTGACTTACACTGAACTAAATTATTTACACTGAACGAAAACAAATTCTTTGAAAATTCCCGGGAGCGTGGGATATCGCTAGTTATCTCACGGTTGTCTTATCTGATTAGCATTGCCATTGAACATCGCCAGATATCCCACGACATGTGACCCGGTTTTGACCAATCATACTGTCGCTAGCTAGTTAGTGATATAATAATGAACAAATATTTCACTCTATTGAGGTGAATACCTGTACATCTTTCACAAGTGATATTCCACGAAGCCCGAAGGGCAAGTGGAATATCACCTTGTGAAAGTGCTACAGGTATTCACCGAAAATAGAGTGAAATATTTGTTTTATTATATCACTGTCTAGCTAAACATCCCTAATATTATTAAGTCATTAAGTCTTCAGATATTTTTACGAATCTACTCGGTTCGTCTGCTATTTTGACTTAAACTGAACTAAATTATTTACACTGAACGAAAACAAATTCTTTGAAAATTCCCGGGAGCGTGGGATATCGCTAGATATCTCACGGTTGTCTTATCTGATTAGCATTGCCATTGAATATCGCCAGATATCCCACGACATGTGACCCGGTTTTGACCAATCACACTGTCGCTAGCTAGATAGTGATATAATAATATGTCATATTCCGATGCCGCATGCGTTGTGACTTGTTGCTTCGTTTTGAGAGAAAGGAGATCTACGAAACATGATCTTTAGTTAGACGTAATGTCTGATGATCCAATTTCTCAGACCATATAAAATATTCCTTTTGCATATCCAATCAACTTTTGAATGAACAAAATAAGCAGCCTTGTTTAATCCGATATAGACAAAAAGGGGCAGGATTGGCGACTGAAATCATTAACTGGGTCTTCTTTAGTGCACATAAAAACACAAAACTCTTTCAAGGAATTTCGAAGGATTTTCGGGTCCGTCTTCCAGGATAACTTGCGTAAATTACGACACTACATATACGGGGAGACGTATTCACTACCTTCATTGGTGGTAAATAAAAATACTTTTGAAATGACTATGATTATTTCCATTCAATTGTTATCCTGTTTTAATTATATTTCTTGTTTTATATAGCTTGAGTTTGTTCTGAACAACTCTGAAGCTAGCGTTTTTGAAGTAACAACAGAACTGAACGTGGTGCCCAATACTTGGCCTTTTCCATTCTGCACCAGTCCTGAGGAATGTACGGGAAGGATTGTGTAGATACTAAGTACCTGGTTTGGTCATATTTAAAATTGAAATGAAGATTTTGAAATAAATCAAAGCATAGTCTAAGTTGTTAAATTAACTTGGTTGCAATGGATCTTTCTTATTGACTCTGCCATCTCTTTCTTAAAAAAGAATGTGCCGGGAATAAATAAATAAATATGAATTTGCTGAATTCGTGTACAAAATGCGGTGGAAAAGAGAACGTTATAGCTGCAAATGACTGAATACTCTTCGGAGATGTACATGTACACAGTTGAATATATTCCTTAGCTTAGAGCAATGTCCTTTAGCTTAGAGTACTTTTAACCTGTGTTTATGAAGATATAATTTGGGCAAATTTCAGTTGTAATTCGTTACTTTTGGCACACCCTGTAAGCTTCTGGTTATAGAGTGAATGTTCATTAAAAGATGGCAGGGCAGTCTGATTACAACTACACTACTGCCATCTTTATATCGGCAATTGTTTTCAGTATGTTTATTCATATAGTTATATCTGACAAAATATTCGAAAATGAGTTGTAATGATATTGGTATAATTTATTCAAAATGTTAAAAATACGAAATTTAAAAATGCGTATCATATAAAATATACAATTTAAATGATTTAGTGATAAACTAAGTACACTCGTCTTTAGCAATGCCTGCATACGACATACAGCAGCATGGCATACTGTATTTTTGCGGACTGAAAGCATTTTTGCAGTGCACAAAGGACAAGGGGCATTATGAAAAGCTAGTCATAGTTCAAAGCTGGGGATTACTTCACCAACACAACGCATCAGAGTGAGGCACAAGGGTTTGTAGCTAGATTATGGAAAGACAACACACCTATAGTAAATGTCACATGCGTGTGCCCATAGTTCCTACAGTGCTAGTCCTTTGAAAAGGGGCGAATAGATGAGGCTGCCTTAACACAGCTTTCCTGACACCTCGTGCCGTAATTTCCATAGCAGTTCTAACTTGTGAAAGCCAAGGCCTTTCTTTGTACTTATTAGCAACAGAAAGACACTTTATGGCGTAATCTCGCGAAGTCTCGCCTCGATAGGTCTCGAACAGTTCGAGTGTACTATCTGCAAGATTTTCACCTTGAGTTGTGGAGTGAAAGTAGGGTCTCGGGGTGGTTTCAACACTTTTTTGTGGCAAGGGGATTGAAAGTTCTGAAGCTTTATTTTTAGCCATTAGCGATTGAACTGCACTGGCTCCTCCGCGTTTCTTTTTCTTTTTTGAAATTGATTTCTTCCTTGATTTAAGCTGATCGGGCTCGATATCTTTACTGTCCTTTGGGGGCACAGGTGCTAATCCCGTCTGAATGAAACCGGTGGTTGACTCAATCCTAGATACATTGTCAGCTGCGATACTCTCGCGTCTGGTTAATGTTTGTTCAACAATAGAATTTCTGCCAGTAGCTGACTTAGAGGCATTCTGAATATCTGGGTTTGATGCGCTGACCTTAGGACCTTCGTTAATTGGCGGTAGTCGCAATCTTGATGCACCAATGCTCCTACTCCTAGGTCGCTGACGTTTTTCTGGCGTAACTGAACGAGAACTGGGGAGATCGTTCTTTAATTGTTGTCGCCCACCAAAAAGTGCTTTAGTGAATGTTTGTGTCTTTGCCTGCTTTGCGTTCGACAGAATTCGTCTGAAATACTCCTCGGGGTTCATATATCCAACTTCCTGGAAATAGTAATACGCCGGGCGTTTCTTGCTGTCATCTTGTTTATCAGCCTTCGCTTTCGCCATCATAGGACTTGTCGAGAACCCATCTAGATGCACACCGTTCCCTAGCAACGCATCCGTCACATATGGCGGCCTTTTCAATGAGGATTTAGATTGTCCATAAATGAAAAAGGTATTTGCCTTTGCTTTTTCCGCCCACTTTTTTATCCTTGCGTATATGGCTAGGGAAACTGTTGACTTTCCAATATGCATTCGTGTCCATTGCTTAGTCAGCAGAAAACTTGCACAGCTTTTTTTCTTTTTGCGAAGTGCAATGTTCAGTGGCATAAGATCATCTATATTCTTAACCATCATGTTGCATATATCGTGATTTATGAAAGTCCTCAGTACTCCTAGTTGACCGTTCTCTACAGCAACGTGGATTGGACATTTGTAACTTCCGGTATGGGCATCATTGTTGCACCACTGCCTGATTGGATGCTCTCCTATTGGCTCACTGGCTCTTAACCCCTGACGTAATAGACTCACTGCCAGGTCAACATGACCGAAATGAGCGGCAATATGAAGAGCGACTTTCATTTGGAAACGTCCAACGACGTCATTCTCGCTTATCAACGTCATAACCTGCGCAGTGAACCCCATAATTGCTACATTTAGAAAATCATTCCAACCGTCCCAAGTCTCTAAGTTTATGGTATGCGCTTGTTCAACCCCATAATCGAACAACGTCTGACAATCGTACATCTCAACTCCTTTAGCATTTGTCAGTCTAAATACAGTAACAGGTATACCGGATTTTTCAGCTGCAATTGTCCGTAATTCTTCGACTTGCATTTTAATGCAATCTATTGGCTGTAAGATTGGAATTGTCTCTTGGCTAAATGCACAATGAATATATAACGTTGGGTGAACTTCATTCCGCATGAGAACGTGTATTGTCTCCCCCTGATGTATCCCCGCATCCTTGAATATCCATTCGTCTTTTAGGTCCGCCCCGGCGAAATGTAATACGAGGACTTTTTTCTCTTTATTGTCGGACTGCGTCCCGATGTCAAACTTATCTCGAATTATCTGTTTGATCTCCAGCACCGTTTTGCCATCGTAAATATCTAGATTTTGTCTTTCATTTTTATACTGTATAAAAATTCTCATCGGAACGTCCTCTTTCTTCGGGCACTTTTTCGACTTGCCACCCATTTTGTTGCAATGTTCTTTTGATGACTGTCTGTCTACATGTATGTTCACACTACCAATGTGCAAAATATGCCGTTATGTACCAATTGAAAGCAGGTCGACCTGAAAATGCAAGAATTGAAATGTTATCAAACAGCTGATCGAAGCAATAAACATTTTAGTGTTATTCCATTATTCAATTGTGCAATAAACTTCCTTTGAACAATAAATTGTAACAAGCTCGTAAATATGACAATGCCATTAGCTGATTATTTATTGTACCTTTATGTCGTATGCTTTGTAATCAATCAATATATAAATAAATAGTTATTGTATCTACGCCTTTATTTTTATCATACAAGAATATTAATGAACACGATCCAAATGAAATAGGCTCTTATATGTGTAAATGTCCGTCATCATTATCGTCAATGCAAAATCCCCTTGACAAGAAAACCATCTTTGGAGTTGATACTATTTGTAAATATATGATAAATGTAACATGTTGTACGACGATGTCATTCTAAAGCGATATAGAATTAATATTTAGCTACATGTATACATTCCACCAATAACAAATACTCTGATTAAATACAACTATATTTTCTAAAGTAACGATTATTGTACAGTCATGATTGTTATTGTATCTAACTTGTTTTTAGTCACGGGCAATTTTGTTAGAATAAATGCGTCGCGACATAATATCAATAGACTTCATATTTAAAAATAATTTCAAGGTTACCTACCGGATTAATGCATCAGTTTTTGCATCCATTTTTATGATATATTAACACAACACGCTCAAACAATAGCCCTCTATCCTTATATTTACATTCAATTTACAAAGTGCTTTGCTTATCATAACGAAGATATACCAATGTGCTTATTGATTATTGCAGATTAGATTATTTCGTGATATATGTGTCTGTCATCATCAACGTGAGTCGTTATCCATGTACTTCAGAGAATGGAAATGAATTCGCAATATGTTTATCTACAGAACGACGATAAATGCGTAGTATGTTTTAAAGAGATGCGTCGGATGCTAAGACGTTTTCCAAAGATAATACATGAATTAATATTCAAATAGCTATTTAAATATCAAATGCTCTCGAACGATACACTTGTTTGTCGATATTAAGTTGTCAATAGTTACAGCTGTTGTTTTATCAGTTAGATCATCCAAACGTTCACTTACCTCATAAAGCATTGCGTGTTTTGGTAACTCCATCATAATATTCCAATCATGTCTCATTTGTGTTTTCTCCTCTGTTAGTTCGAGTACCGTGTTTTCTCAAACAATCTTTAATGGCTCTCATTGAGTTTTATATCAATAACGTTATATCACATGAAGTGTCGATGAATGAAACTGTAAGTGTCTATCATAAAATTTGTTAACATAGTTCTTCAGCTGTCTTTAATATCTCAATGATACCCCTCCACTTGGTGTGCTTTCCCTCATGAATGGCACCCACTTGTTTACTATGACCACTCTGCCCATTAGCAACCGAATCACTCGTTGTGTTTTTAAGCGCTTTGTTCGTTAAGCTGGGATAATCTCATCTTAATAGATTTTGATTACTGGTCAATCGCTAGTTGGTTTGTCATTCTTGTAGTTGAATATACATTTTCTGTATATTGGATTGTATTACGGGGACTTGGTTGATCTGATATCACCCTTATGTAATACCAATGAACTATAGGTACTTTCGAGGGAATTTCTCATAACAAGTGCATTTTGTGAAAATGTATATCGAGACGACCTCTTAAATTCTAGTAAAACGCAAAAGATCGTGTCGGTATATCGTGTTTCTCTGCGCGTTTTCCACTTCCTACGACCTACATATAAAGGGAAACTTTAGAGGTATCTGGGTTTGTAGTGAACGACACATTGGCCATATTCGCTTGATATTACCGAATTAGAGATCTGTCCGACCAGCAAAAATTTAGAAAAAAAAACATTTTAATTTTTGCTTGAGTGAATACCAATATGTTTCTAAACGACGAAGTGTTTTTATACCCTATACTGCATATTGCATCTAACCTTTACGTATCAATTTCAATAATACATTGAATAATGTGAATTGAAATAATTATATGAAGAGAGAGTTGAATTGACTGTTGGTCCAACAATTACGATTCATACATATTATGCAATGCAGACTATACATGCGCTCAAACGGCCATTGTTAATATGAATTTTACATACTTGAAAATATTGTTTGTTGTCCAACAGGATAAGTGTCCTCTAAAATGCTTTGCTTGTGTTAGTGATCTTTTGACTAAACAATTATCGCTGTATTTTTATAAGTACTTATTGTAACATATTTTATCCATTGAAAAGTGTCAAATAATGAAATAAGAACATTGCTCCTTTAAAGTTATATGGTATCTTTTAGTGACGTCATATGATGTAAATTTATTAGCCTCGTTATCGATATTTAATAAATGGCTGATTTTACAAGCAGTGTGTTTCGGTTTTAGTCGGTGTTCATTGTCTCTCTATATAATATAGACCCCAAGGTCATTGGTCAGACAAGAATGCTATTAATGTCGTTTTACTGAAGTATGTACACATCATGGTCATCTATAGGGACATAAAGATTAAGATCCTGTAAAAATATTTGCAAAGATACCATAATGTTCCAAAAACTACCAACGACTACTAAATACAGAAAGAAATTTTTAACCCAATTAATTATTGCCGTGGAACCATATTCCATTATGGGGCCATTGGGTACATTATTGAACTAATCAATTTAATTTGATTGTCTATACAACAATCAGTTTTGATACACGCTGTGAAGCATTCGCCACCAAGGTAGAAATTTCCTATTTGATGTTGTTTTTATTGCGCAGTTCCATTTTATTTTTAGACTAAGAAATCGATTTTATGTTTATCAAATGTATTTTTCAAAATCAAGTAGGCCTAAAAGTCATGTGTTATTATTGTGTTGTTATTTGTTTTGTTTTGATGTTTTGTTTTATTCAGAAATAATGCAATGCGTATTGTCAAACATCTTTTGGTATTTTCCCTTTCAGTGCTTGGCCACATACATAGCTACACTCTTAAAAATTATTACTTGGATTTCCTTACATTGAGAAATTGTACTACTCATTTTAAGTCAAAAATTACTTAAATAATCTTGAACTACTGAATAATTTTTAAGTAATTTTTAAGTAATTCATTTATGGTGAATTTACTAATGCAAGGTGAGAAATTGAAATAATTACTGTAGTAATTGTAATACTCACATAATTAAGCAATTAAAAAACTCAAAATGACAATATAAGTTAAACCTAAGTAAAATGACGTAAAACTAAGTATTTAACTTTAGGTAATTTTTATACTTGGGAAATACTTGGGAAATACTCAAGTAATTAATTTTTAAGAGTGTTAGTACTGAATCCAGTTGCAAGAACCACTTATTAAATCAGGCACATAAGCGGCAGTAAAACGTTTACCAATCATTTCTGTAAAATAAAATTTGGTAACATGAATATAGCGTAAACCACCTGTTTGTGACCGGGCTATGGTGGCTATGACAGTGCGTTCGGCGTCTGTAACAATTGTTACACTTTTGTAATTGCGACTATGTAAGTGTTTATTTTACAAATAACTGTTTTATGTAATAGTCTTTCCCTCGTCCCATTTCTGCTTGTTACATATTTGCTTCCATTTAAAAGTATTTCTGTCTTAAACCAGGAACTTTACAATGAGATTAGCCTCCAAACCGATTGAGCTTAATCTGGGGTCACTGGATACAGAATGATCAAAAGTGACTTGGTTGTAAAATCTTGTTTTCGTGTTATTGTTTCCTAAACCAAGACGTGGATGTCTATTGTTCTTCTAAAAGTACTGAACTGAAGTTTCCCAGTGGGATTCTAGCTTTCCCATATCCTAATATAAATAAATCGCATGTCGATTTGTTTTTGGCATCGATTCTTGATATAAATTGGTGATCGGGGTCGCGTTGGTGACTTCATCCCGCTGACAATGCCAATAACGACCAATACATCATGCTACGGGTTATATCACGTGATAGGGAATTACTTGTGAATATATTGGAATTGGACGCGTGTGTCACTTGTACCGAAGCAAAATGTTTTTTGTTACGTTCTTATTGCGTGATATGTGATCGTCTTTGGCCTGAACTTGATTTTCTGGATTCGGAAAGTGTTTTTAAGGTACAAATAAAAGCCATGTTACATTTTCGAATATATACCATACCAGGCTGGTAATTATTCTGGTTTAAATACTGTATAAAGACAAGCTTTCACAACCCTGCTTTTCAGGAAAAAGTACCATTCGATCTCCTATCCTGATTTTCTGTAGACTTTTATATTTATTAGGGTGACATCTATGAATACAGACGAAATATACATAAGTAGTTTCGTTTAAGATTTTACATTGTCCGAAAAGAGACCATAATACTTTTCAAACAGCACAAACAGCTGACAAAACTCCCGGCTCAGAAGTTGAATTTTACCTGTCATACCCAGGGGTCAACAACGTAATACATTGTCAGTCTAACTTTTGTGAAGTATACAAATTAGTGCATTAAATGCTAATCAAATGTACATTAATAATTTGAATAACAATGATATACAAATTAACAAATATACACCGAAGAGCAAGGGTAATATTGTGGAATACACCCCGCAGGGCTAGGAAGAAACGTTTTACTGTAGGCTTTCATGCCTAGCCCTAAGGGATGTATTCGACGATATTACCCCTGCTCTGAGGTCTATATTACGGTTCGAAAATGAAAACTCACCAAGATGTTTCGAATATTCATTATGGTCCGCCATTACTACGACCCGCCGTTATGACGTCACACATTACATGTATTACCAGGGGTATTCTTCGCGAATATACCCCAGGTGAAATGTTGACTTTGTTGACATTTTATAGAAGGCGTGAATACAGTCATGTTCGAATTAATCAATTTTAATGTCAATGCGAATGTTATTATCTTATAGGTGCTTCATACTATTTATGATATCCCAAATATGATTTTTCCGTATAATTTTGTAGATTTGATATCAAATTTTCATATTAGAATCTGAACCAAAACATTTGTAATTTGTTTAAATACTTTACTTATATACTTATTTATTAATATAATATATACTACAGTAATTTATATACGTGGTACTAGTTTCGAACAATCATATTTTTCATTGTACAGACCAAGAATTCAAAACCCAATTCTTTCCCCAACATTGTCATAACATATAATGACGTTGCTATAGAGCCATTTCAGGATCTATATGGCAAATTCCGAAGGGACGATACCTTAATAAACTGACCCCGAAGACGCTTTCTTGTTTTCTCTTCTGAACTACATTGTACATTCTCATCCATACGTTTGTCAACTGGAGTCAATTTGTCACAAATCTCCGACGTATCATTAAAGAATTCGTGGGGGTGCAAACGTTACATTAAAAAAACACTTCAGAAAATCATCAATTAATCATGATTAATATATCGACGGGACATATGTATCAGAATTGTGTACGTCAGCTTCGATCGTGCTATCGTCCGCGCTATATTTGTTACAGGCTCCCAACCAGCTGTGTTCGATGCATTTCGGCTTCCTTCGTAGAGTGATACAGCTTGCCCCAAGTGTGTTAAAGAATGCTTTTCCAATCTCGTCAGCCGTCTTAGATTTTGATGATCGTAAACAATATCGAAAGCTGCAACACACATCTTAACAATTATATTTAAATACACGTGTAAACAATAATATGTACGTGCAAACAATAATATATCCGGGTAAACAATAATAAACACGTGAAAACAATATTAGAGGTTGACTTAATACCTCTGAGACTTCATTCAATTCGAAACAGCATGTACAATTCAAAGTTTTGTGATATCAGTCTTAAATGTGTAAATATCCGTCATAAATTGGGGATCTGGATGTGGAAACCTAAACATCAGGATACGGGATATATCTTATTACCTATCTCCCTAAAATTCCACTTGGCATAGGAAAAATATTAAAATATACCTGTCATCGCAGTCACAGTGACTTAACGTATACAATCTATGATTGAACACGTTATACTTCGTTTCCCAACTTAGGATCTTCGCTGGGCAGTGGTCGTGTGATCTACAGCATGTATCGATCTTCCCAAACGCACCAAGGTCATCAAATCCACTAGCAATGTCACCCGGTCCACACCATTTCGTCCCGGGATGTATGAACGAAAAACGTTTCTGACGTCGCTTCGATGAAGTTGCTGTGTCCCCGGGAATCATTTGACTGGGTTGTTTGCGTCCATGTTCAGTATATTTCGTGCATTCGAGTTTCGCTCTTGAAAAATGCTCGGGGTCGGCTAAATTTTGAAACAGTGCGTTTGTAAATAAACGTGTCATATCATGCTTGAGATTTGACGTCATGCGTGTGTCATTATGGTTATCTCTCGGCTGTTGTTCATGTCGTTTCTCTAACCAATTAGTGGAATGTAGATTGCTTAATAAACGGTCAAAGTTTGTCAATAATTGACACTTTGTGTCCAAATCTTCACCACCTAGTTCGCGTATCACCGAATAGGCACTGTAAACATTAACGGATCGTTTGGCGCGCAGTTCAAATACTCGACCAATCGGGTTCTCTTGATTTTCCGCACGTGACTCATTCTCTTCACCAATCGAGTGTGATGGATTTTCTTCACGTCGCACGTGCACGTGGTTCCTACTTTGTGGCTCTCGGCCAATCACAGAGCCGTCCTTTATCCATGGTTTGTTTTCTCGGGTTACGGACTGTTCTTGAAGAACCGAGTGTTGTCGTTTCCCATGTTCTTCAGACTTTGCATCTAGGTTTGTCCCCATGCTTGTTTTTGGACCAAGCAGATGCTGTTGTGGCTGAAATCGAGATGACGTCACGTTCCGTAACTCTCCGTGTAATCCCAAAGCGTAGTCCATCACTGGGAACGCAAGTAGAAGCCTAACTAGTAAGCAGAACCTCTGCGACATTGCAAGAAGTCTAGGTCTAAAAGCAGGCAAAGAAGAGAGAATATTTCAATTGTACGTTTGTTTTATTAAATTGGCGTGCAACATGTACCGGTAGGATTCTACCTTTTAGGGTTTTCTATGTTTTCACTGGTATAATATAATGGAAAGTAATGTAAAAATACACTATAGCAATATCACTACCAGTCTACTATCATGATACCGATATACATCTTACATTTTCTAAGCAATCTGAAATCGATTTAAATTAAATACCGTGAATTGTATTACTTACCGCAATTGTTCTCTTGAAACCTACTAAACTTGTACAGCTACACAACTAGTGATATTCGCTTTCTCAGCTTTTATACTTCGCGCTTACATCACAAGTAGCAAAATGACACACGTTAAGCAAAATAGATGACATGTAGATGCATACCTGGAAATGTAGCAAAGTAGTTTCCGATTGGAAGTTTCATTTCTCTCCTGGGATAATGTCGTAATTACCAGGTACTAGAAGAGTTGACATCCCAAAGTTCAACGTCTTACAAAGGTAATTTTATATGTCTCAATAATTTGATTACGTAGATCTACTCGTCGTTTGCTGGTCAATGTGATAGATATTTTTACAGGAGATGACTATTGAAAATCTTGAAATGATAAATACAACCGCTTTTTGGATAGCGCATGCGCAGTATTATTGCATTTAATTGGTGCATTCAAGGAGGATTGGCTCCAAGCATTCCATCTTTATCTTCTGCGCATGTCATCATCGAGTATCATATGTTGTGAAATAAAGTTCAAAACTAAACCTCTGCCATATTTCCATTCAGAATTTGAGTTTTGGTCTTTTTGTAATAATTAGTAAAACCAAGAGATGATAAGCAAATATTTCAAATCTATAACCGGTTTTAATGTCAGAAAAGATTATTTATTATATATTTATTATATTTCGTTGTCGTTGCCTCAAACGCACTGAACGAACTATCACTACACAATGCCTTGGTCACATTTGCTCCGATTTTTAATACGGCGCCCGGGCGATTGAGTATTTTGTTCAAAATTGAATACAATATTGAACAAAAAACTCAATCAGCCGGGCGCCGGCTGATGGATCGTAGCGTATGTGACCAAGGCAAAATAGACCACTCTCTTTGGGCACATTGCTACATATTCACATGATTACATTTGGCAAATTTTTTAAAGTGACACATGAATATAAGTTTATTCATATATATCCATATGTATTTGGGAAATTTATTGACGGTGTAAAAGGGTAGGAGGTCCTATCAAATTATGGTCCTACTCTCCATTGATTTATATGGTGACCTGAATACAACTCTTTCCCTCATTATCTTATACGCAATCAGGGCCAGTAAGGGCCGTTAAGAAAGGGGACCATAATCCCTGGGGGACCATCATTTCTTTCACACCTGCTCAATAGAAGAACTGTGCATATACCAGTTCAAGGATGGATCACCGCAAGAACGGATTACAGTATTTCTCCTGACCAATGTCCAAGAAGTCAGTCATCTTTTTTCACACTTGCCATTGAAGTTCCTTGACCATTTTATACGAGAATAGACATTTACACCTCGATGAAACAGCGCATATATATATACCCATTTTCTTCAAAATTTGGCCTGAAATTAAAATTAAGACCAAAAAGGCCCACTTTTGCCCAAATATTTTTGAGGGCCCGATTTTTTCTGGGCCCACCCAAGGGTGAGGGCCCCGGGCCCCCAGCCCCCCCCCCCCCCAAGATCCGCCAGTGGATGGAATATGTACAGTATAGTTCAATACTGATTTCCACATCAAGCATTTAAGGAACTATCTCATTTATATACATATCCTATTACTATTTAACACAATTTAAATGTAACGTCACTAACTAATGTCAGCAATAATTTGATTACTGTTACTTCTATTTTAAGCCTGCATGGGCGTAACGTGGTATGATGTACTTGAGGCGAAACAGGCTTTAATCGAAAATTAATACTTTTAAAGACACAGAACCAAGACCCTGGGTCCTGTTATCCAATCAAAAAGTAGTTTTCATTAACCAATAGAAATTCACACCGATTGAGCCAATCACAGCCTTCAAAACAAGATTTTTAAAAATGGCCACCAAAATAGTAAACAATAACATAGCAGTAAAATTTTGTACTCACATATATATGCATTGGTTTCTCATTTAATAATCCACTAAACAATATTATAAGAGCATATAATCCAAATAGTAGTTACTATAGTTAATGTGTATACTATTATATTTAATTAATCCGAATAAGAATATTTCATTGTGTAAGTCTAGCTGAACTTATATCCATTCACTGGTAAACATGTCCTTTATATTCAATGCCAGGTGGATTCGGGAACCATTCTCTCACTTGTGTGACAACACATGTGGGCATTATCTCCCTTTTATGGTATATTATACTTCTGTCACTACTTTTGGAAGCTGCCTTTTTGGTTAAATAGTTAGGATGTCTCCATAGTCCTAGATTGTTTATCATTCTCCAAAATTCCTTGTACAGTTTTCTCCTTGTTATAATGTTTGACAATGATGGAGTTGCATTTGTTGTCCTCCAAAATGGCTCATACTTGGCTTCATTGACAACACATGGGTTCCAGAAACAATGCGGACAATCATGTGACTCTTCATTAGAACTAGGGGAATCATTGTTAGGAGGCTGCGGAGGCTCTGTAGATACATGTTGTGGTATCATACCAGTCAAAATGCTGATTGACTGACTTGCTTGACTTTCGTCTTCTGTTGAAGAATCAGTGGCTACTGTTTCTAAAGAACAAATTGCTACTGTTTCTGAAGAGATACTAGCTGATGTTTTCCTCTTTGCTGCTTTTCTTCTATTCACATTTACTGTTTTTTCTGTATTATTCAACCTACTGTTCTTGTAGCTGTCCTCAATGGGGTCAAAGTTCCAGTCATAGTGATCATATAGGGATTCTATCACTAACCTCTGTTCCTCAGTTACATTTATCTTCAAGCTGTAAGTTCTGCTTTCCATTTCACTGCTTGAACTTCAAACATAAAATGACACTGTTTCTTGGATCATAGATTTAGTTTTTAGAATCTGAAAGACCAGTGAAATGCAGCTTGATAAATGTATATTACTATGGGAAAACCAAGGCTTTCTCCAATTCTTGGAGGTTTTAATAATAAATACTCTCTGGTGGATTCATCATCTGGAATCTCAGATATACTCACTCGGGAAGGTACATTAAATGTTGAATGTCACCAGAAATCTAACATATAATCTTCATATGTGGAAGAGTGTAATTTGTTCACCCCTGTGTTCATGATATGGTACATCCACATGAACTCTTGTAAGGTCCAAATCTAGGTTTCTATTGATGTGACCATGATTGATAATTAATAAACATGACTCCCTGACTTTGTCAATGAGGCATGTAGAAAATCTCTTGAATTTCCCAATTTTTCAATTTTATAGCTAAGTGGTGAAAGCAGGCAAATCCTAGACCTCTGAGATTTTTAATTGGGGCTGTACCACTTATGTGCCTCATGGCATAAGTTGCAAACAGTTACCTGGATTTTTTATTTTTCTGAACTTTCATCATTAAATTATGGCTAGAATTTGAGTAAGAACAAAAAAGAAATGTGGTTATAATGCAACAATAAAATATGGCTTATCATTTTTGCACTCCCTAGCTTAATAACTAAAATAAATATAATTATGGTTATATATTTCCCACACTGTCACATCCCTAAGGTACACCCTTTGCCTAAATTGCCATGTGTTTTCAACTGTTACATTTGTGCCTTTTCACATATCTTACTAACAGTTACTAGGCAAGACACACATTGTAGCAATCCTAAACTGTATGATGGCAAGTAAAGCTAAGAAAAAGAAGGAATATAGAGAAAAGCATGGGCGTTCCTCAAGATTCTCAATTGAATGTGCAGGAGGTCAAGAGAAGAAGGAAACTTTGCTTGGAAAAACGAGTAAAATAAAGAAGTTTTTACACCTGAATGGCAATGTAGATGCCATAGAAATAGCATTAGACTATTGGCTAACACACAATATGCCATCTGCAAGTAGCAACACACATACTTCAGCATCATCTGAAGGCAATCTTGAGCCAGAGTCTTGGTACACACCACTAGAGAGACATGAAACTGAGCAACCAATATTTTTTACAACTGAAAAAACTGTCAAAAAACTTGTAAGTTTAGTTGAACATCATAGCAGAATATGTCAAGCGGAACTTCAGTTGCAAGAAGTAGTATTACATGGACATGCAGCAACAATTGCATTTAAATGCCAGGTCAGCGAACATTATGTAAGATGGCCTTCCTCACCCCACTTACCAAATAGCGAGGCTTACGTCAATCTTCGTTTTTTCTTTGGACAGTTGACAAGTGGGCTACTGCCTTCACAATATGAGAATGTTGTTAAAGCAGTCGGTATGGGCCATCTAGGTTGGAGAAAAGAGAAGACTTATACAAATGAATTATCTTCTCATATCAGTGAAGCGATGAAAGAATCTTGCAAAGCTGCCTTAGATGAAGAAAAGGGGACGTATCCTGATGTCGAGGCAAATGGTATCAATATCATGACGGATGCTCGACATGGTGGTAGAAGAAATGCGTTTGATTGTGATGTGATATGTTTGGGCCACAACAAACACAGAGTTATACGTTCTGAACATGTTTCAAAGGAAGATGAAATGTCATCTCAAAAGCATGAGGCATTGGGTACTAAACGGATGTATGAATTTTTTGATGCTGAACAAGTTAAAATAAATATTCATGCCCATGACAACAACGGTACAATCAATAAAATAATCCGTGAGCACAGAGGACCTGGTGGCAAGGAAACTTTAAACCAGAATGACACATGGCATGCGGCAAAGTCATTCAGTCGTGAAATAAACAAAGTTTGTAAGGGGCCCAAATATAAAGATGGCGAGACGTGGCACTCGGAACTCATAGACAAACCCGATGGGGCACGAAAAAGAGCACAGCAAGTTATTCGAAACTGTGATAAGAATCCGAATACAATCAGGATGAAACTAGAGCAAATTCCAAACCATTATAAGGACAACCATTTAAATTGCGATGCCATATCAAGCTGTAAAACAAATATCAACTACAGATTAGAGAAAATTAGAATCACCTCACCCATTGCAGAACAATTATTATTATCATCAATTAAAAAAACAGAAATTTATAGACACGCTGAACATTATACAGAAGCTATGGACACATTTTATGTTGAGAGCTTCAACAATACGTTGAATATTTTCCATGATAAGCGTGTTGTCTTTAAAAAGCAACAATTCGAAATAAGAACTAATCTAGCTGTCGTCCACTGGAATGAAAATGTAGACCGTGATTATTCCAGCATTACTGAAATTGATGATCCACTGAATCCCTTCAAACAAAGAAAAGTTTTGAAGGACTACACAACTAATTACAAAAACAATATTTGGAACAAATGGATGGATTCTATATTTTAATTATACAATATACTTATACTTTACCACATTCCATAGATTATTTACAAGATTAATAACATATAAATACAACATGACTATGTGCATGTAATTGGATTAACTATCACTGTTGGATATATAAAGATCACATCACTTGAAATGCCTCAGCCAGGATCAGGGTAAGTTAATATCAATAATACTTCATTTACTGCAGATATTTTAGGCCATGTGCTTTTGTTGACCTCTAAATATGCACGGATCGCCTGTTGTGATTGGCTCATTTCAAAATAGGCTCCTCCTTCTCAGTTGTTCCAATATCAGAAATTAAACAGTAATAATTACAAAAGTAAATAATATCTTGGACTGGATTTAACATGTTTCAATGCCTCCTATATTCATAGATAACTGTGACAATTTATAGAGTGATAGGGTTTCTATAACTAGAGAAAATGAGGAAAATGTCAGTGAGCTCAGATTTTGTCTAAATTTTGAATTCAGCCATGTTTTTTCAACTGATTCAGGCCTTTTATAGCGGGGGTGAGTCTTTAAGGTAAAACAACTACTAGCTCCAATGAGGGTTGGCTTTGAGGGTTATTTTTATAATCATGTGGACCTACTTGACAGAAAACATATCGTTTGATAAAAAGAAACACTGCATGTATTTATGGCCAGAAAGTACTCATAGTGAAAGATAAACCATCTAAAATCACTTGCCATACTACACGTTGTCCTTTGGCCAGCATTTAATAATGCATTTTCTGTCAGCCTTGCAGATCATGCATGTCATTTTAACATTATGCAAGAATCAACTTAATTTCCAAATTTAAATTGCATTGTCATAAATGTATTTCTTATTCTCTTCAATGAATGTACATTTAAATCGTAAATAGTTCATTGGTAAACGTTCATTAAGTGACCAGAATTATCATTACGATTACTGAATATTCTGAATGTTGTTTTATTATTGTCCAGCATTCAATGTGCATTTTCTGTTAGCCGCGCAGCTGTCTTTGTTACTCACACACGTTGTCATTACAGCTTTCAAACTTGCAGTGAACTCTCCTTTCCTTGCTTTCTTGGTGACAAATCCACTGAAGTATTGTGGTGATTCACCTTTTACAACGCCAAGTCTCTTCGTGTTGTCTAAGCTGAGTAAAGAAAAGCCTGATAAACACAAAATATACGATACAGGTTTTTACATGAACTTGTTTCTCTTGAGCCAGATTTTGAGAATTTGGTTTTATTTCAAGAAGCATATTACTGAAATGGTAAATAAGCAAACTTTTCGGATATTCGATTTCCTTCTACAATGTTATTTTAAGGGAAGCGATTGGGTAAAACAGACACTGTGACAGAGAATACGTTATTAGAGTACTACATTATCTTGTATTGACCTGCTAGAGTCAATTCTAATTAACATACTTTATTTCGCCCTTCAGGTTCTTGTGCCCCATTTCCGCCCTTCGGATAAATGTACAAGAGTAAGTGATATTTACGATATGTCCTGGTCTGATATTATCGGGTTTCCTGGGGTCTGGTCCGTGGCATTTCAGACTGCAGATGACTACTTCCTCAGCAACTGTACTAAGACGAATTGTATCTTAAAAATATGATTATATCCTTCCAGTAACACGCCAGTGACCCTTTCTCAGAAAGAACACATTAATGCCAGATATTATTGAAGGTTTGTGGTCCATTCAGCAACGTGAAATGTCTTTAATTTATTTTTTTAAATATACTTGTTAATAATATTAACTCAATATTGTCAATTAAAGTCAAGTGCTAATGTTCTGCTTTCCGATCTAATTCCTGTGCTCGTATATATGGTCTTGCCTTGGAAATGATTATAAATAAAGAATGGAGTGCAATATCATAATTGTTTACTTACCTTGGCATTGTCCATTCCTGCAGTACATTTCCCCTGGGCATTCTTGGCTTCTTGTACAGCAATATACGTTCTCGCACGGATCGCGTCTCATTACACATCTCCCTCCAACAGTACAGTACTCGTATTGTAAGCAATCACTGTCAGTTCTGCATGTCTCCTCACATATTCCTATGAATATTCATTATAAATGACTGTTTTCAGCCTCATATTATAAAATATTAAATAATATTGTTTTTCTATTTGACTATATGCATGTATGTTGTAAAATATATGTATACATGTTATTTATTAATGGTTCCAGCAAATTGAGCCACCAACCACATTGTTACATGTTGTTCTTTCTAATCGGGTAACGTTATAGTATCACATGATAGCAACGTGATATCAATGACTCGATGTAGTTATAAAGTTGGCAATTGATATCATTAAAGGAGTAGTATTATCTGATATTATTTTTAAATATTAGCCCTTTGTCATTAGTGCCATTAAGCTTTTTTCATATTTGATTTTAATGGTATTTTACCTTTTTGAGTATAAATAACAAATTATTAAGTAATCTAGCATGTACACAATAAATAGAATAAAAACGTGCACTCGATAAATTGTTCCTATTTACCATTTCCTAAGGGCACGCATGTTGAAAGCCCTTTACATTCATTACTCGACCTGCAGCGTTCCCCTGGATCTTTCATGGGTTCACACATTCCCTGATTACACCAACGTTCCTGTGTGCATTCACGGGAGAATCTGCATGTTCCTCCATAAGTAGAAACTTGTCCAGCATTTAGTATGCATTTTCTGTTCGCCTGACAGCTGTCCTTGTTGCTGACACACGGTGTCATTACAGCTTTCAAACTTGCAATGAACTCTCCTTTCCTGGCTTTCTTGGTGACAAATCCATTAAAATACTGTGGTGACAAACCTAATACTTTGCCAAGTCTCTTCACGTTATCTAATCTGAGTAAAGAAAAGCCGGATAAACACACAAAATATACGACATGATTTTACATGAACTTGTTCCTGCAGAGACATATTTTGGATAATTTGGTTTTATTTCAAGAAGCATATAGTAAAACTTTTTGGATCGTCAATTTGTTTTTCACTGTGATATGTCTATTGAAATGATTGAATAAAACGGACACTATGACAGAGCCTTTGTCATTTGCAGTTTATTTAAGGCCCAATGTGACTGTGCCTAATGTGGAGTTAGATTATCGTCCATAAATACAGATAGAGAACGGACTAGAAATATAGTTTGAAATACAATTTTTGCTTACTCCAGAATGAGGCAATCTACACTGAACGACATAAAGAGTACCTTGGGAAATCCCCGACTGATATCATAACATCCCCCTTTTAAGTCGCTAAGATTAAAACTACATATGACATACATAGAAAGTATTAAAAGAGTTGATTTCAGCTGATACTAACATATGCAAGTACACTATAAAAATTGTCTTTACATTTTAAACTTTACATTTAAAAACAGTGAAGTGTGTCTGTAACACAATATATGTACTCTAATGTAAATAAACGGTACATTTGAAGAACTGAAGTGTCTGTAACACCATTGATGCTTTACTGTTTCGCATATTTTCAATACGCTTTTACTGCGTTATCAACTTGGGTCAATCTGGGCCTTGGGGACATCGTCATATATGTATTACATGCCATTACATTGATATCAGCTCCTGTATCTATCTTGAAACTGACTGATTGGCCCTGTATAGGTAATAGTCCCTGATCTGGACCCTCTGAAAAAAAGTTTTGTTGTCCGGTACTTTCCCACATAAAATGATTGTACCGTTTGAAAGAACAGACTTCCCTCTTAAAGAAAACACCTCTTCTATTGATGTAAACAGGGGCAAAAGGCACCAAAACGGGGTTAGACAAGGTGGCATTCTGAAGTCTCACTTTCTTGTCATCACGATTCCAGGTAAACCATCAGACGGATTTACTTCAAATTTTCACACATGTTACATGGTAAGAAGTTCTAGAGCTGATTAACTTTGCGGCGGCCATCTTGCATTCTGGTGGCCATCTTGGATTTTTTTTTCAGATAAATATTGTCATTGCGATTCCACAAAAACCACAAAACAGATGTACTTCAAATGTTCACACATGTTACATGGTAAAAAGTCCTAGACCTCATTATTTTTTTGGTGGCCATCTTGCATTCTGGCAGCCATCTTGGAAGTTTTAAGATAAACCTTGTCATCACGATTTCAGGAAATCCAAACGGATTTACTTCAAATTTCCACACATGTTACATGGTAAGAAAATATAGAGGTGAATAACTTTTCGGCAGCCATCTTGCATTCTGGCGGCCATCTTGGAAATTTTGGGATAAATCTTGTCATCGTGATTCCAGGAAAACAACATAACAGATTAACTTCAAATTTTCACACATGTTACATGGTATGAAGTTCTAGAGCTGATAAAATTTTCAGTGGCCATTTTGCATTCTGGCAGCCATTTTGGAAGGTTTATAGATAAATCTTGTAATCACGATTCCAGAAAAACCACTTCACAGTTTTACTTCGAATTTTCACACATGTTACATGGTATGAAGTTCTAGAGCTGACTAACTTTTCGGTGGCCTTGTTGCATTCCGTCGGCCATCTTGGAAGTTTTTAGATAAATCTTGTCATCACGATTCCATGAAAACCACGTAACAGTTTTACTTCAAATTTTCACACATGTTACATGGTAAGAAGTTATAGAGCTGATTAACTTTCCGATAGCCATCTTGCATTCTGGCGGCCATCTTGGAAGTTTGTAGATAAATCTTGTCATTACGATTCCAGAAAAACCACTTTACAGATTTGCTTCAAATTTTCACACTTTATACATTTACATTCACAATGGTCCCTTCCTCGTATATTTCTTTAGGTTTTATGACTGTTAAATTCTATAGTCTTGTTAAGACCACTTTATAAACAGGTTTATTATTACTTTTATGACTGTTAAATTAGTTGAAAATTTAGTTGAAAACTTAGAGTAAACAATCAGTTCTTCTATCACAAAGTTTATTTTGGTTCAGTAGATTTTTCTATACATTATTTTTATGTCACCACCACTAGTGATTGGGTGACATATTGTAATAGTTTCGAACGTTTATCTTTAATTGAGACTGTTCAGTAGTTAATGTGTACTTTATACTTAACAAGGTGTGGTGACATTTTGCATGTTTCTGCATCGTCACTACTATTGAAAGCTTATGTTGATGTTGTAGCAGTGTTTTTTAAGTTCTTTTTGTTGGTACAATTAGTTTCCAAACCCTATACTAATATCGATCTGACACACAGTTTTAGTGCAGGTTTAAGTGATTTTTGTTGATTATTAAACGCAAAGAGCACATGTGTCTCGAACTCGCAAACTTGTGGATACAGAGCCCATTCACATAGTTTGACATGCTGGTGCTCTGAACCAGCTCGTTAGTTAATATCTGACTAAGAGACAGCTTGCTTTCCCGATGAAGAAATGTTATCTGCAGCTTTTATGAGTACTATAGTATCTACAACTATTTTTGATCTTATGAGTATTGGATATCATTATTTTCAATTTTTCTTCAACATGTATTTTAATGACTTCAGTATGAATGGAATGTCCCTCGGAGTTGTGGTCGTTGATGAGGATGTTTGCCAGTTTTACACTTTACAGTTTGCTTTTCCCACTAGGTTGCTTTACACTTTTTTCCTTTCTCATTTGTCATTTTTGTTTATATTTAGTAAGGATATGATACGCAGGTCTCTCCTTCTGTGTGATCACCTGTCCAGAAGATAATTCAACTGCATGAAGAACATTTCGTTGACATGATGCACAGTGAAAGGTTTTCCAAAAAATCAATCGATGTCATACACAAAATTCATTTAAGTGGTATAAAGAAGCAGAGTAAAACCAGAACAACAGCAACGCCAAAGCGTAGCGAATCCCATCGAACAGAAATGGCTGGCATTTTTACAAACGAATAGCAAATATCATAAACAACACACCAGAAAGGCCACCATGGTTGCTCACTAGCCAAGTTGTCATCAGAAGAAATAATATGCTTTTAAGTAGCCACCTCTAAAATCGCTCCACTACTTTTCGAGTTATAGTAAAATATGTTAAAATGGCGGCCATTTTTCAATTTTTTTTCAAAATGGCCGCCTTCTACCCAAAGTGTCATAGGACAGTGTGTCATGCTTCTAGTATTCACATACCAAATACGAAAAAAATCACTCCACTACTTTTCGAGTTATAGTAAAATACGTTTAAATGGCGGCCATTTTTCAAAATGGCCGCCTTCTACCAAAAGTGTCATAGGACAGTGTGCCATGCTTCTAGTATTCACATACCAAATATGAACAAAATCGCTCCACTACTTTTCGAGTTATAGTAAAATATGTTAAAATGGCGGTCTTTTCAAATTTTTTTCCAAAATGGCCGCCTTCTACCAAAAGTGTCATAGGACAGTGTGCCATGCTTATAGTATTCACATACAAAATATGAACAAAATCGCTCCACTACTTTTCGAGTTATAGCAAAATATGTTAAAATGGCGGCCATTTTTCAATTTTATTTTCAAAATGGCCACCTTCTACCCAAAGTGTCATAGGACAGTGTGCCATGCTTATAGTATTCACATACCAAATATGAACAAAATCGCTCCACTACTTTTCGAGTTATAGTAAAATACGTTAAAATGGCGGCCATTTTGAAAAATGGCCGCCTTCTACCAAAAGTGTCTTTAGACAGTGTGCAATGCTTATAGTATTCACATACCAAATATGAACAAAATTGCTCCACTATTTTTTGAGTTACAGCAAAAATCGTAAAATGACGAGTAAAGGCCGCCATTTTTTCAAGATGGCTGCCATGTGCTTCTTTAATCTACATTTGTAGCATTATTAACGTCCTTTATAATTTTTTTACATTTAAAACATATTGCTATTACAGTTTTACATATTACACCTAAATTACTGTTAAATCGGCACTAAAATGGCCGCCATTTTGAAATGAGCGGCCATTTTGAAAATCGGCTTTCGAGCAGAACTTCTACTCCCATAGGGTATATGTGTACAAAATATGAACAAAATCGGGCCAACGGTATTTGAGTTATTGCCCGGACGGACGGACGGACGGATGGACGGACGGACGGACGGACGGAGGCGTTTCCTATATCCCTCCGAACTTCGTTCGATGGGATAAATATGTATTTTAGAATATCACCATGTGTTACCCCATTGTAGCGCCTCTTGCCCATGTTTCTATCAACATAAAACATGATATAATACACCAAATATGCATTTATGTCAAATTATGTGGTTTAAAATACAGAAAAATAGATAACATTCTCCTTAGAATACCACCTTGTGTAACCCCACTTTACTGCCTTTTGCCCCTGTTTATATCAATATAAAAGGTAGTATGTAACCATCCTTGTAACATGTGTAAAAGTTTCAAGAAAATCAGTAAAGTGGTTTTCCTGGAATCACAATGACAAGATTTATCAAAAAAACTTCCAAGATGGCCGCCAAAATGCAAGATGGCCACCGAAAGGTTAATTAGCTCTAGAACTTCTTACCATGTAATATGTGTGAAAATTTGAAGTAAATCCGTTTGGTTTTCCTGAAATCGTGATGACAAGATTTATCTTTAAACTTCCAAGATGGCTGCCAGAATGCAAGATGGCCACCGAAAAAATAATGAGGTCTAGGACTTTTTACCATGTTACATGTGTGAACATTTGAAGTACATCTGTAATGTGTTTTTTGTGGAATCGCGATGACAATATTTATCTGAAAAAAATTCCAAGATGGCCGCCAGAATGCAAGATGGCCGCCGCAAAGTTAATCAGCTCTAGAACTTCTTACCATGTAACATGTGTGAAAATTTGAAGTAAATCCGTCTGATGGTTTACCTGGAATCGTGATGACAAGAAAGTGAGACTCCAGAATGCCACCTTGTCTAACGCCGGTTTGGTGCCTTTTGCCCCTGTTTACATCAATAGAAGAGGTGTTTTCTTTAAGAGGGAAGTCTGTTCTTTCAAACGGTACAATCATTTTATGTGGGAAAGTACCGGACAACAAAACCCCTTTTCTAGAGCCCTTTTGGAAATCAGATCGGGGACTATAAATCTACTAGCCATGGTGGCTCTTTTGATGGCTCTTTCTGATGTATAGCATTACACCAATGAAAAGCTCTTCTTGTACTTGAAGGGATTCAACCTTGAAAGTTTCAAGATTTACAGGTTCAGCTGAATCATTACATTCAACTGTGAGAGTTTAAATATCACGAGATTCACCTGATTCAGTGTGACCACATTCATTACAAGACTTGACAGATGATAATTTACACATGATAGCATAGTGCCCCCTTTTCTACATTTATTACATGTGCGGCCACTAGCAGGGTATACACCCCATAGGAGTCCATAGGCTGATCACGTGACAATATATGAATGAAGACGAGACGTAGTTCATATAACATGCAGCCCTGGTTAGGGTCGTGTACAAATGTCAATGTGAAACTTTTCCGTGAATATTCTCTTGAAAATCTACTCATTTCACATCGAAAATTTCCAAAAGTACAACGTATTTTGCGAAATACTTATCCTACTGATGCTCTGTATTATAGGCTTTCGTTTTATCCCACTTATTGTGACACCATTTGAGATTATCGTCCATAAATACATATATAGAACGGACTAGAAATATAGTTTGAAATATTTGCCTTCTCCAGAATGAGGCAATCTACACTGAACGAAATATAGAGTACTTTTGGAATCCATTTTCAAAAGTAAGAAAAGGAGTTCTTAAAAAGAACATTAAAACCTAAGGCGTTTTTGAGATTGTTGGTTAAACTTATTATAATTTGTAAATGTCAATTTTAATTTACATACTTTATATCGGCCTTCAAATTGAGGTGTCCCATCTCCGCCCTTCGGATAAATGTACAGGAGTAGGTGATGTTCACAATAGATCCTGGTCTTATGTTATCGGGTTTCCTGGGGTCTGGTCCGTGGCAGTTCAGACTACAGATGACTACTTCCTCAGCAACTATATTAAGACGAATTGTAAATAAACTATTATTATTTTATTCCACTAAACATGGTATATGAAGTCAGGCAGCCAGTGTTTTTTGTCAGAGAGAAGACATACATACCAAATATTATTGAAGGTTTGTGGACTATTCAGCAAGACAAAATCCCTGGTTTTAATTGTTACATACAGGGTGGCCTAAAATACGTCTTCATTTTTATTTTGAAATTAGTTTTTTAAATGCATGAATTTCTCAAAATATTTGGTGGATATGCATCACAGATGTTCCTAAAGTGTGATTTATAAATCCTCGGTGGTTTTAAAAGAAGTTTTATTTATATTCGTTTGAGTGTAACGAATTAGAATATTGTAGCGGGAGCGCATTTTTCTTATTTATTTTCACGTTTTATTTTCATGCTTTTCTGATCAAGATCAAATTATGTTTTATATATGGTTAAAAAGAACATTCTTTCATACAGAATTGTATCATTGGATTTATAACAGATTTTGGATTTATATTGCTGTAATAGTTACGCTGGATATTTGTGCTACTGGTGATCGTAATTATTGTGGATTTATATTGAACATAACTGGATATATCTTGCGTTTACACGGAGATACGTTGTTAGCCTGAAAGTCGTTCAGCGCTGCTTGTTTATTAAAAGCGCAACGCTTTGTAATGTATAGAATAAAGATAAACAGACACTAGGGGTCTATATGAAAAATTACAAAATTCAGTATGAAATTTAAAGCAAGAATTTTACTATGATAATACTCATGCCTCAAATAAAATTTCCAGATTGACTTTTTATACATTCAGCTTGGAAACATGTAATGTGATACACTCTTGTAATTTATATTCCCGATAACAATAAAAGCATTGGGAATGTATTGAGACTGATAAAGAAGAAAATTAGTACCGTGGGTACTGGGCTCACATGGTGTTGCTCAAAAATGAATGATGGCTACAATGACAATGCAGGACACCTGAAATTATTTGTTAAATTAAGAATGGGGCAAAAAAGAATTTTCCGAAACAAAAATGGCGGCCATTTTGAAAATAGCTTTTGAACCAGGAGTCATAAGGGAGTTTATTGTATTGATGATGAACAAAAAAAACTTTAAACTGGAATCCTATCGACAGAGGTTTCAAGGCAAATGGTCCAAAAGTGGATTTCGTGAGACAGATGAACAAATCAATGTTAACTAAAATGGCTGAAAATAAAAAAAAACGGATATAATTTGCCGATTTTTTGTAACAAAATTTTCATACAACTACTCAGTGACGTGGCTTTTTACAATGCAGGACACCTGAAATTATGTGTAAAGCTGGGAAATAGGCCAAAAGTGAATATCGCGAAACAAAAATGGCGGCCATTTTGAAAATAGGCGAACTTTTGAACCAGGAGTCATAGGGGAGTTTTTTGTTTTGATGTTGAACAAAAATAACTTAAAACAGGAATACTATTGACAGAGGTTTTAAGGCAAATGGTCCAAAAGTTGATTCGTGGGACAGATGGACAAATCAATGTTGACTAAAATGGCTGAAAATAAAAAAACAGATATAATTTTTTTGCCGATTTTTTTGTGCCGCTATTGTTGACAGAAAAGTGGATTTTCGCAAGTCATATGGACAAATCAATGTTAACTAAAATGGCTGAAAATTAAAAAAATGGATATAATTTCTTGCTGATTTTTTGTAAAAAAATTATATCATACATCTACTCTTAAAAGTGACATGGATTTTTACAATGGAGGACAACTGAAATTATTTGTAAAGCTAGGAAATGGGCAAAAAGTGAATTTCGCAAAACAAAAATGGTGGCCATTTTGAAAATAGGCGAGCTTTTGAACCAGGAGTAAAAGGGGAGTGTTTTTGTATTGATGTTGAACAAAAATAACTTAAAACGGGAATCCTATCGACAGAGGTTTTAAGGCAAATGGTCCAAAAAGTGGATTTCGCGAGACAGATGGACAAATCAATGTTAACTAAAATGGCAGAAAATAAAAAAAACGGATATAATTTTTTGCTGATTTTTTGTAACAAAATTATTTCATACATCTACTCTTTACATTGACATGGAATTTTACAATGCAGGACACCTGGAATTATTTGTAAAGCTAGGAAATGGGTCAAATGTGAATTTCGCGAGACAAAAAATGGCGGCCATTTTGAAAATAGGCGAGCTTTTGAGCCAGGAGTCATATGGGAGTCTTCTGTATTGATGTTGAACAGAAATAACCTAAAACAGGAATCCTATCGACAGAGGTATTGAAACATGCCATTATTGTTGACAGAAAAGTGGATTTCCCAAGTCAGATGGACAAATCAATGTTAACTGAAATGGGTGAAAATAAAAAAATGGATGTAAGTTTTTGCTGATTTTTTGTAACAAAATTATATGATACATCTACTCTTTACATTGACATGGATTTTGACAATGTAAGACACCTGAAATTATTTGTAACCCTAGGCAATTGGTCAAAAGTGACTTTTGTGAGACAAAAATGGCGGCCATTTTGAAAATAGGCAAGCTTTTGAATCAGGAGTCATATGGGAGTTTTCTGTATTGATGTTGAACAGAAATAACTTAAATTGGGAATCCTATCGACAGAGGTTTTAAAACGTGCCACTATTGTTGACGGACGGACGCACGGACCGACGGACGGACGTCCGCACGCACGGACAGACAGACGGACAAGTGAGTGATTGCAAAAGCTCACCATGTGAGCTAATAAGATGGACTGGTTCAACATCAGGAAAATGCAACTGGCAGGCGACGGCGAAAATCTGGATGAAACATGATGTTCTCGTATTGACTTGTAATTTATATTGAGTATTAATTAATGTAAAGGGCATTGACGAAACAGGTTCTTTAATGTGTGGGCTCAATTAAGCACCATACTATCTTTCTTACCACAAATATAATCTAGGAATAGTTTTCACTGTGAAGACAGATTTTCCAGGATCACAGTTTTCTCTTGATGCTGAATCAGTTTTTCTTCATCTTACTTATTTGTCTTATGTTACATTCTAATATTCTATTTTTCTAGAAATTATTTCAGAATATACCGAACACTCTGCATCGTGTGTTTCTCTGATAGACTGACTTATATGTCAATCTGGTACTTTAATTTGAGGTATGACTAAAATCAGTGTAAAATTGTTACTTTGAATAACCTTTTTATGTCCCCACCGCATAGTGTGGGGCCATATTGTCGGCCTAGGCGCGTCCGACTGTCTGTCCGTCCGTCCGTCTGTCCGTCCGTACGTCCGGGAGTTTTCTCCAAAACCGCTACAGATATCACCTTCAAATGTTCAGGGATAACTTAAGGTCCTCATAACTTATGAGTTCATATAGATGTGGATGAAAAAAATGTATCTCGAAACCTACTTCCTGTCGGCCATTTTGAAGTCAAATGCTAAAACCCTTGTCTGCAAACTTTAAGAAAAACGGCTTCACAGTTGCTTTTAAAACTTTAACATCTTGTTCAGCTCACGTCATTCTAGATCTGATTAGGTTTTGGACCTGTAAGCTCAGTCATGTCAGCCATTTTGAATGTCTTGAGAAAAGTTAGCGAGCGATAATACTTTGTATCATATTGAATGGTGTTTTTGAGTTTTCATACTTTAACTATTTAGAAGCTTTATAAATAATTTCAGATGTACTTTGTTGTAAAAGCCTATGTTATTGCTAACATTACTTATATGTGATAATTTTGTAAAAAGAAATCAGCAAAAACTAATAAGGACTTTTTTATTGTCGGCCATTTTGGAATTTTTGGTCCTAAAATCTTGTCTGTGAAGTCTTGTCTGCGCGTTTTCAGGTGAATCGTTTGGTGGATCAATTTCAAAGTTTCAGGGATGATTTTTAGTATGACAATCTAGATCTGATTAGTTTTTTGGCATTCTGGGTAAATGTCAAGGCAGCCATTTTGGATTTTCTGTCCTAAAATCTTGTCTGTAAAGTCTAGTCTACGCGTTTTCAGCTGAACTGTTTGGTAGATCAATTTCAAATTTTCAGGGATGATTCTTAGTATGAAAATCTAGAACTGATTAGTATTTTAGCATTCTGGGTAAATGTCAAGGCAGCCATTTTGGACTTTCCGTCCTAAAATCTTGTCTGTAAAGTCTTGTCTACGCATTTCCAGGTGAACCGTTCTGTAGATCAATTTCAAATTTTCAGGGATGATTCTAAGAATGAAAATCTAGATCTGATTAGTTTTTTGGCATTCTGGATAAATGTCAAGGCAGCCATTTTGGATTTTCCGTCTTAAAATATTGCCTGTATAGTCTTGTCTACGCGTTTTGGGTGAACCGTTTAGTAGATCAATTTCAAATTTTCCGGGATGATTCTTAGTATGAAAATCTACATCTGATTAGTTTTTTTTGCATTCTGCAAAAATGTTAAGGCAGCCATTTTTGGATTTTCTGTCCTAAAATCTTGTCTACCCATTTTCAGGTGAACCGTTTGGTAGATCTATTTAATATTTTCAGGGATTATTTTTGGTATGAAAATCTACAAACAGATTAGTTTTTTGACATTCTGGGTAAATGTCAAGGCAGCCATTTTGTATTTTCCATCCTGAAATCTTGTCTGTAAAGTCTTGATTATATGTTTTCTGGTTAACTGTGTGACGGATCAATTTCAAATTTTCAGGGGTGGTTCTTTGTATGAAAATCTAGAACTGAATAAATTTTTGGCATTCTGGATTAAGGTGGCCATTTTGGATTTTTCGTCCTCAAATTGTGTTGGTAAAGTCTTGTCTACTCATTTTCAGGATAAACATTTGACGGGATCACCCATTGGTGGGCACATTTTGTACACATTTGTGTTCTTGTGAAATCTTATATTTCAAATAGACAACTAGTGACCTACTTCAGGTTCTATTGTAAAATTGCTTTCTGCACATCCTGCAAAATCTTATTAAAATCCATGCATTTTTAAAAGTTATATTGAAATAAAAAACGTGAACGTTTTTTGGCCCTTTGTAGTAAGAAATCAGCACTGATCAAA